TCATATTATATTATATTATATGAACATAGTCACAGGATGCTTTAAAGAACAGTTTAGTTTTCTATGAAGAGAATAAAGTGATACTCACTGTGTATCTCCTGTAGTCCGGTCTGTGTCCCCGAGCTGTGTTCCAGTACTGTGAGTACATCCCTCTTAATAAACTCTATTATTTAAATAAAACACTCTGATTATTTAATAATTCTCTTTCCTACATTTGCTGTCAGAGACGCAGCTTCAGTCTCGGTGAGCCGGTGGAAGTGAGTGTGTGAACTGAATGATGCCACTGAAGCGTGAACCTTCAGACTACAGGACAGGAAGTGAAGGCTGAGATTAGATCCTCTGCTCTGACACTCTGTTACATAACTGCTGTATGTATACTGAGTTAATAATTACTAAACATTATTTGGTACAAAATCCTGTTCTGAGGTACTTGAACTTTCATTCACTTTGTATTTCTACTCCACTACATTATTTTATACCTTTAGTTACTTTACAGATTAAGATTATTATTATAGTCAGTTAAGATCAGACTTTTTTGATCCTAGTGTTCAGCATTTACCAGCAGCACCATTAACATAATGAACACATTAATGCATCAATAATAATAATAATAATCCAATAATAATAATAATAATATATTATTCTGAAATGATAATAGTTCAACAGATGGTTCTACAGGTGCATCTCAATAAATTAGAATATCACGACAAAGTTAATTTATTTCAGTAATTCAATTCAAAAAGTGAAACTCATATATAGATTCATTACACACAGACTGAAATATTTCAAGCCTTTATTTCTTTTAATTTTGATGATTATGGCTTACAGCTAACAAAACCAAAAATTCAGTATCTCAGAAATTTGAATATTTCATAAGACCAATACATTTTAATACAGCAATGTCGGCCTACTCACAAGTATGTTCATATATATGCACTCAATACTTGGTCGGGGCTCCTTTGCATGAATTACTGCATCAGTGCAGCGTGGCATGGAGGCAATCAGCCTGTGGCACTGCCGAGGTGTTATGGAAGTCCAGGTTGCTTTGATAGCGGCCTTCAGGTCATCTGCATTGTTGGGTCTGGTGTCTCTCACATTCCTCTTGACAATAGCCCATAGATTCTCTATGGGGTTCAGGTCAGGTGAGATTGCTGGCCAATCAAGCACAGTAAAACCATAGTCATTGAACCAGGTATTGGTACTTTTGGCAGTCTGGGCAGGTGCCAAGTCCTGCTGGGAAATGAAATCAGCATCTCCATTATGCTTATCAGCAAAAGGAAGCATGAAGTGTTCTAAAATGTCCTGGTAGATGGCCGTGTTGACTTTGGACTTGATAAAACACAGTGGACAAACACCAGCAGATCCCCAAATCATCACTGACTGTGGAAACTTCACACTGGACTAAAAGCAACTTGGATTCTTTTCCACTCTTCCTCCAGACTTTGGAGGAAGACCTCAATTCCCAAATGAAATGCAAACTTCACTTTCATCTGAAAAGGGGACTTTGGACCACTGAGCAACAGTCCAGTCCTTTTTCTCCTTAGCCCAGGTAAGACCCTTCTGACAGTTGTAGCCCATGTCCTGGATACATCTGTGTGTGGTGGCTCTTGATGCACTGACTCCAGGTTTTCATTAGCTGTAAACCATAATCATCAAAATTAAAAGAAATAAAGGCTTGAAATATTATAAAATCTATATATTAGTTTCACTTTTTTAATTGAATTACTTAAATAAATTAACGCTACCATGATATTCTAATTTATTGAGATGCACTCGTATATAATTTTTTTTTTAAATTTTATATATGTATTTAATGTGAATTTAAATAATATAGGTCCATTCTCAATCTGCTTTGTATATTTACAGATAAACCATTTAATGGTCCAATTCTAAAGTCATGAATCTGTTGACTGCAGTCTCCACTCTCCTGAGTGTAACAAGAATAAAACTTAATAATTACCACATCTTTAAATATGATTTCTGCCTTAGTCATGATACACGCCCTAAGGTCTGCTAAAGGATTTTTAGCAGCAGACCAGACCTGGCCTTATCCCCAATGTTGAGGATGCTTGGTCTTATTTTAAAAACTTGTTCCCTTCCAACCTCAGAATCAGAATCAGGATCAGAATTTATTGCCAGGTAGGTTTTTATACACACTTTGTCTTGGTGCAATGGTACTTAAAATATACAATCACACAAAAATATACAAATCACACACACAAGAATAAAGTACTTTTAAAAATATAAATAAATAAAGATAAGAAAGATGAGAGAAGATAAGAAAACTGTACAGAAGATGGGAGTGCATTAATGTAATGCATATATACAGAGTGGGTACGAGAGTCAGTGACAGTGGGGGGTCTGGGCCTTTGTTAATGAGGCCAGCTGCAGATGGAAAGAAACTGTTTTTAACAAACCATAACCCTGAACAGACATACTCCTACAAATACAAAACATACTGTATATATCAAAAACTGCTATATCCTTGTTTTCATACTGGATTGTCTGAGCCTATCCATCAAAAACATCTGCTCTGCAATGAACACATCTGACTGAGAATCCTTTTGAGAAATAAGGAACAAATGCCCCCATTCAACCAGCAAGGCAAAATCAAATTACTGTAAACAACAATTCCTTAAGACTGTTAAAATCATAAGAACAAAATAACATAACATCCTCTCAATCTCTTACTGCAATCCAAACAGAAGACATTGTTATATCGGATAAAGTCAAAATGGTGAACTATTTCAATAAGCATTTTCTTTAAGGTTGGTTGTGCCTTTGAATCTTACTCCTGTCAACCTGCTAGCTCAGTTTCAGGCACTGGTCCTCTATCCATCTCGCTTTACCTCTCGGAAGTATTTGAGAAATTGGTCAACAAACAATTCACTCCAACCCAGCAGTCTGTGATGACCCCTCCCACTCTGGTTGTTCTGTGTCTCTTCCCCTTTTTCCTTGGCAAGAGACAGAGTGGCAGAGGGTGTTGCTAGTAGATGTCTCAGGACACTTTTCAAATAGAGCAGGTCAGAGAGACAGACAGACAGACAGACAGAGACAGACAGACAGACAGACAGACAGGTACACAGCAACAACAGTATTGGTAATGGCAATCTAGCAGGACCATGGCAGGAGGCTCCACCAGGATCGATAAGAACCTGCGAGACGAAAAAGGACAAGAACTCCGGGGAAGAAGTGAAGTTAGTAACATGCATTAATGGAACATGAATGAGTGCAGAAAGAGAGAGGAAGAGAGGAGCTCAGTGCACCATGGGAAATCCCCCGATAGTCTAGGCCTATAGCAGCATAACTAAGGGATGGTTCAGGACTCACCTGATCCAGCCCTAACTATAAGCTTTATCAAAGAGGAATGTCTTAAGCCTACTCTTGAATGTGGTGAGGGTGTCTGCCTCCAGAACCACAACTGGAAGCTGGTTCCACAGGAGAGGAGCTTGGTAACTGAAGGCTCTGGCTCCTGTTCTACTTTTAGAGACTATAGGAACCACAAGTAGCCCAGCATTCAGAGAACGTAGTGTTCTAGAGGGGTAATAGGGTACTATGAGTTCTTTAAGATATGAAGGGGCCTGACCATGAAGAGCTTTGTAGGTGAGGAGGAGAATTTTAAAATCTATTCTAAATTTTATAGGGAGCCAATGCAGAGAAGCTAGTACAGGAGAGATGTGATCTCTTTTTCTAGTTCCTGTCAGTACTCGTGCTGCAGCGTTCTGAATTAATTGGAGTGTTTTAATGGACTTATTGGGGCAACCTGATAATAAAGAGTTGCAGTAATCCAGCCTTGAAGTAACAAATGCATGGATTAGTTTTTCTGCATCTGTCTGTGATAGGATGTGTCTAATTTTTGTAATATTACATAAATGAAAGAAGGCAGTCCTAGAGGTCTGCTTTATGTGGGAGTTAAATGACAAATCCTGATCAAAGATAACTCCAAGATTCCTGACAGTGGTGCTAGAGGCCAAGTTAATGCCATAGAGTAACCATATCTTTAGACAATGAGTCTCTAAGATTTTTGGGGCCAAGTACAAGAATTTCGTTTTTTCTGAGTTTAACATCAGAAAATTGCAGCTCATCCAGGATTTTATGTCCTAAAGACATGTTTGTAATTTAGATAATTGATTAATTTCATCGGGCTTGATTGATAGATATAACTGCGTATCATCTGCACAACAGTGAAAGGTAATGGAGTGATTCCTAATAATTTTGCCTAAAGGGAGCATATATAGAGTAAATAGTATTGGTCCAAGTACAGAACCTTGTGGAACTCCATGACTAACTGTAGTATTTTTTAAAGATTCATCGTTAACATATTCATTGTTTTTTTAAGTAGGCTTTCACATAAAGCCTCCGTATATTGGTCCTTAACAATAAACACGGGACAAGGGAAACAAAAAGCATATATAGAAAAATAGAAAATTAAATGAACAAATATAATAAAGGCAATAATAGATACGGTGGAAGATGTACAGTTTGTGCAGGAATGTGCAAAAGATAACAGTTTTAAAGAATATTTGCAATGCACAGTAGTAGATTTGTAGGCCTATTAAACACATTGTGACTGGTAGCCTTTTTTAAATTTAAATTCCAACCTTGGCAATGAAGTCATATTTTTTACTGGTTGTCTGCGTGTATATCGACTACATCAAACAACATGGTAAGAGTTCAGGTGTAAAGAATCTGAAATGTGCTTTTCATAGTGCATTTTCAGAACGTTCACCACAGCAGACACTCATTAAAACATACTTTTACATAAATATGATATTACATTTCTGCCAATAGAGCCTCCTAAATGTTACACACTGGAGCTTTAATGGGTTTAATTGGATGATATATTAAAATGTATATTAAAGTAGATTGTCCCCTATTCTCACAAGTAAATTATCACCATAATTGACAGTAACAATTGTTGTCCACCTACACATTGTTGCAGACCTAATTACCAAATACTTCTGTACGTATACACATAGACTCAATTCAATTCAATTAAATTCAGTTTTTGTCTCATAACATTTATTGAAGAAGATATCCAAACATCACAATGTTGATATAATTTAGATTTGGTCTAAATGTTGTATATGCTGAACAGTAATACACATGTGATTCAGCAGATATCAGCTTTAGAATAAATCAAACACTTCCAAACAATGAATCTTTTCTGAGCTTGTTTCCGAAATAAGAACTTAAAACAAAGATTAACAACTCAATGAAGATTGGCTAATTTACTTGATGCAGTTTGTTAAAATCAAAGATAAAAAAAAAAATCAGATGATTGAGATGATTACACAGATGTTAATAAAAATACAAAAAACATATATTTGTGTTTCTGAGAAGCTCGAACAAAGTGACTGAACACTGGATTTATAATATAAAACGGAAAAATGTTGAATAAAAACCACTGTTTACGTGTGTTAACTCAAAATATGAATGAAAATAAGAAGGAACTGCAAATTGTCAGTCCGTTACACATTCTTGTGGTGTATAACAATACATTTCCGTGATTCCTTCATACAAATAAAACTTTGATCACTGAGAAGTAGCAGTGGTTAAAGCAGGATAATCTATTATTTTTGATAACAACATGGCTCATTGTGGATGGCGATATGGTGATGTCTGCAACTTGACCAATCAGCAGCCTCATCAGCAGACCGTTGACGTCAGAGCTGAAGTGCGTTAAACTGCATTTCCTCTAATGTCCACTGGATATTGCACTAAGGTGACCTGAAACATTTGGGACAGCCCATCCTATCCTGAACCAGTGAGAGTAATAGATTAGTGACACTAATATTAAAAAATATTGCAGTGTACTATTATGTATTTTGGAGCAATGCCAAATTGTCATTAATAATTATCGCATATGGGTGAGATGAGCAACAATCTGTTGTTGTCACCAGAAGGAAAGACTTCAAACGAGAAAACTCTCAATCAATTTGTTTGTTTGTCTGGTGTTTTTACAGGGAGTTTCACTCATTCTCATCTGGTCACCCTAAACTGTTCTATATTGAGTTTAATTATGTTTTTCGTCTTTTCATCTTTTGTAATATAGAAAAAGCAAATGTTATTTTGATATTGTAAAACAAAGTGATGCTCCATCCAGTACCAAAATTTAAATCAAATTATTGGAATCTGTTATAAGTCCCAAATGGATTGACAGGTCTTTAAATACTATGACTTAATACCACATAAGCAGCCATCTTTAGTCAGCAGTATGAGAGTTTTTCTACAGAGGAGACTCTCTAACCTAGAGAACACAGAAACACTGAGGAGTCAAATGTGCGAAACCCAAACCCAGGATAAAGAGATTCAGTGAATGTGGTGTAGAAGGTGTGGAGGTGGATCAGTGTGTCAGAGGAGACTCTGTAGAAGGACAGAGTCCCAGCAGGACAGTCCACATACACTGCTACTCTACCGGAGGAAGAAGAGGAAGGATGAAGGTCTGTTCTTCTACTATTGTGAAAAACAGAGTAACCATCACCAAAGCAACCCAGACTCCAGGAGAGATCATTCCTTCCAAACCTGCTGCCCTTGCTGTTTCCTCTTTTGCTGATTCTTCTGTAAGTCACTGCTACATGAACTTCCCCTTCCCACTCAACCTCCCAGTAACAGCGACCAGTCAGACCATTGCTACACAGCAGGTGACAGGAGTCATCAAATCTCTCTGGATGATCAGGATATGACTGACACTCTCTCATCCGAGTCACCTTCATGTTGTTGTCAGACAGTTTAAGGAATCTGTTCACTGTGTTTGGGTCCACCGTGAGTTCACAGAAATCTGATGGAGACACACACACAACAGCAGCCGGTTATTTGTTGAGTTTGTTTGTTTATTTACTACTTGATTTATTGTACATTTGAAACAGATTCATGATCAGACTTGTAGAGTAACATTACATGTATCAGAATACATCAGATTACAGTTACATTTAGTAAAGATGAGATGACACTGAGCAGAGTACACCTTTTAAATGGAAAACAAATCTTGGTTTCCATTTTCTTTTCTAAAGTTACAATGTTCCTATCGATATTTCTTTCAACTGTTGTTGCATATTTGGTATTGACTTAATCCAAAAGTAAAAAAGTGAAAAAAAGAGAAATTGACAGTGTGCCGTTTTTATGTCATGAATTAAACAAAATCTACACTTACACTTTCTCAGTCCAGGTTTGAGCCTGTGTTCTCCACCGTTGTCCACCCTGGAGGAGTCAGGACACAGTCAGACCAGCATTTTGTCTCTGATTGAATTGTCATTTTTCAAACAAGAAAACACAATTACATGGTCTGTACATATTTTGTTGTTTTGGAATTTGTATTAGTGTGATGTACTGACCAACTATAATAACAACTGTTTGCCCAGTTTTCCTCCCACATGGTAAAACCCTTCTGAATGTGTTGTACCTTACAATAAACTGTTTCAGCAAGATTCACATTGGAACATCAAGGCATTTACTGCCTTTAATATGATAGGACAGGATAGCTGTAGAGTGATAGCAAAAGGGGAGAGAGAGAGAGAGAGAGAGAGAGAGAGAGAGAGAGAGAGAGAGAGAAAGCAAGGGAGAGCTCACTGCTGAAGGCTGCAGTGATAATGTAGTCAAAAACATTGAACATTGCACAGGCCAGCACAGGGACACAGTGGAGATGCCAAAACAGAGGCTCCAACAAAAAAAAAAACACAGCGTCATCTGGCTGAACCAGTGTACTGCGAAGGCCAAACCTTCATGCAAGCATACATTTCCTGATACTTTAGCTTGTATTTGTATTTGTACTTTATGTGTACTTTTTTACCTGAGGTATTCTAGTGTTGACCTGATATCACTCTCGTCTAGACTAAAGTCACAGCTCTATTGAGCCACGTATCCACATAACCTTAAGTAGCAACAACTTCATGAGCTTCTTTTATAATACAATTATTACTATAAGAGACAAAATTAATCACCAAATGCCCTCACTGGCTCTCCAAGTTCAGGAACATTAACTAATGTAAAATCAGATATATATTTAGACAGTTTTTTCATCGATCTTCATCAGTTAACTTTCTTCATCGAAGCCATCAACTAGGCTGCTAAAAGAAGTCGTACCTTTAATTGGCACTTCTTTACTAGATATGATCAGTCTTTCCTTATTGTCAGGATATGTACCACAGTCCTTTAAAATAGCTGTAATTAAACCTTTTAAAAAGCCCACTCTTGACCCACGGGTTTTAGCCAACTATAGACCCATTTTAACCTCCCCTTTACAAAGGTCACAGAAAAACTGCTTGGATCACATAGGTAATTCACAGGGCAGTTGTCAGACTTACCAAGAAAGCAAAAATTATTACAGTTCCCAACAGTGCTGGCAGTAAAGGAAGAAAATAGATCAAATCCCAAAACCAACCCCTTTAGCAGATGACTCAAACTGTGGATGGAGTGTTGAGAATCATCCGGAGATCATCAGCAGACATGTCCTAGGAATAATTTAATGTCTTACATTGTTGGTAAGACATGGATATGGATATGGATACGTGGAGTCAATAGAATTGCATCTAGTGTTTAACAAACAGTAGGTGTGTAATTGGCTGACAACAGCAGTCTTTTGGTTCTGTCTGGAAGGGGCTCAGACAGATTACCAATCACAAACCTAAAACCCCCCACTCCATCAACGAATTGCGCCTAGCAAACGATCTGAATGAGTTCTACTGTCGCTTTGACAGACAAAGAGACAGTCCTGACAACATCCCCCCGTGACACCCCTCATCAGCTCCACCTCACCAGTCCCATCAAGCTCTAGACACCTCCCTCATTGGGCTCATCTACAGATGGGAGATTGACCATCTGGTGACCTGGTGCAGCCAGAACAACCTGGAGCTAATTGCTCTAAAAACCAATGATATGGTTGTGGACTTCATGAAGAACCCAGCCCCGCCCGCCCCCATCATCCTGTGTGACTTCCCGGTTGACTCTATGGAGTCCTTCCGCTTCCTGGGTATCATCATTACCCAGGACCTCAAGTGGGAGCTGAACATCAGCCGCAGCTGAGGAAGTTCAACCTGCCAAAGACGATGATGGTGCACTTCTACACCGCCACCGAGTCCATCCTCACCTCTTCCATCACCATCTGGTATGCTGCTGCCACTGCCAAGGATAAGGGCAGACTGCAGCGAATCATTCGATCTGCTCAGAAGGTGATCAACTGCAATCTGCCATCCCTCCAGGACCTGTACGCCTCTAGGACCCTGAGGCATGCAGGCAAGATTGTGGCTGACCCCTCCCACCCTGGCCACAAACTCTTTGAAACACTTCCCTCTGGTAGGAAGCTGCGGTCTGAATTGTTTAACTTGCAATATTTGACTTTAGTATATCTCTTATAGTCAACAAATAAACAGCCTGGATGAAAACCCTTTTTTTTCCAATTTGGTATGGTATTGTATTTGCCTTTCTTCCAAACTATACATGAATGTTTACGGAGGGAAGAATATTTTCACTGAAAGGGTGTCTGTCCAATAGAAGATGTCAGACATTCCTAAGCCACATTGCTTTCACAAGCAGAATTACAGTATTTAAGAAATCATTCCTGATGGTAAACCCCATTAATTTCTGGCCCACCATCAGTAACAAAAAGCAAAAAATGTCTGTCCATACCTCAGAGTGTCCAGTCTCCAGTGTGGATCATCCAGTCCAGCAGACAGCAGTTTCACTCCTGAGTCTCCTGGATGGTTATAGCTCAGGTCCAGCTCTCTCAGATGGGAGGGGTTGGAACTCAGAGCTGAGGCCAGAGAAACACAGCCTTCCTCTGTGATCAGACAGCCTGAGAGACTGAAAATATTATCCACAATGAAATTCAGAATGACAGTATATTATACTGCAAATAACATAAATTGATCATCTCACTGAAATTCAATGATAACAGTTAATAAAAACCAGCTTATCATTTACATTCTGACCTGAGAGTTTCTAATACACAGTGTGGACTCTTCAGTCCAGCAGAGAGAAGCTTCACTCCTGAATCCTGCAGGTCGTTGTTACTCAGGTCCAGCTCTCTCAGACTAGAGGACTGGGAGCTGAGAACTGAGGACAGAGCTTCACAGCTTCTCCATGACAGTTTACAAAGACTCAGCCTGGGGAAGAAATATCAATGAAGCAAGACATGATTTGTTTATTATTGGTAACTTATTAAGCATTTTTACTATTAATACACTTTTTGTTTATGTTTCCACCTACAAAGATTTGTTGGAAGCTTTGACCACTGGCAGCAGCCTCAGAAGAGCCTCCTCTGAAGCAGAGTATTTCTTCAGGTCAAACATGTCCAGATCTTTTTCTGATGACAGTAAGATGAAGACCAGAGCTGACCACTGAGCAGGAGAGAGTTTAGCTGTGTAGAGACTTCCTGATTTCAGGTACCACTGAATCTCATTCACTAGAGAACGGTCCTTCAGTTCATTTAGACAGTGGAACAGATTGATGCTTCTCTCTGGTGAGAAATTCTCAGTGGTTTTCTTCTTGATGTACTGGATTGTTTCCCGAGTGGTCTGTGAGCAATTTCTTGTCGGTGTCAGCAGACCTCTTAGGAGGGCCTGATTAGTTTCTAGTGAAAGACCCAGAAGGAAGCGGAGGAACAAGTCCAGGTGTCCATTTGGACTCTGTAAGGCCTTGTCCACAGCAGTCTGATAGAGATTTGTTGGTTCATGTTTGTTCGTCTGTACCTCAGCCCCACAGGACTTTGCTTCTGCCAGCAGATTGACTCCAGAGTTGATGAATGTCAGATGGACATGAAGAGCAGCCAGAAACTCCTGAACACTCAGATGGATGAAGCAGAAGACCTTGTCCTGGTACAGTCCACTCTCCTCTTTAAAGATCTGTGTGAACACTCCTGAGTACACTGAGGCTGCTCTGATATCGATGCCACACTCTGTCAGGTCTGATTCATAGAAGATCAGGTTGCCTTTCTGCAGCTGCTCAAAAGCCAGTTTTCCCAGAGACTCAATCATGTTCCTGCTCTCTGGACTCCAATGTGGATCCGTCTCTGTTCTTTTATCATATTTGACGTTCTTCAGTTTGAAGTGAACCACCAGGAAGTGGATGAACATCTCAGTCAGGGTCTTGGGCAGCTCTCCCCCCTCTCTGGTCTTCAACACTTTCTCCAGAACTGTAGCAGTGATCCAGCAGAAGACTGGGATGTGGCACATGATGTGAACACTTCGTGAGGTCTTGATGTGGGAGATGATTCTGCTGGCCTGCTTCTCATCTGTGAACCTCTTCCTGAAGTACTCCTCCTTCTGTGGGTCAGTGAACCCTCTTAACTCTGTCACCATGTCAACACACTCAGGAGGGATCTGATTGGCTGCTGCAGGTCGAGAGGTTATCCAGAGGCGAGCAGAGGGAAGCAGGTTCCCCCTGATGAGGTTTGTCAGCAGCACATCCACTGAGGTAGACTCTGTAACATCAGTCAGGATCTCAGTGTTGTGGAAGTCTAGAGGAAGTCGACACTCATCCAGACCGTCAAAGATGAACACAACCTGGAACTCTTCAAACCTGCAGATTCCTGCTTCTTTGGTTTCAGTAAAGAAGTGATGAACAAGTTCCACCAAGCTGTACTTTTTCTCTCTCAGCACATTCAGCTCTCTGAAAGTGAATGGAAATGTGAACTGTATGTCCTGGTTGGCTTTGTCTTCAGCCCAGTCCAGAGTGAACTTCTGTGTTAAGACTGTTTTCCCAATGCCAGCCACTCCCTTTGTCATCACTGTTCTGATTGGTTCATCTCTTCCAGGTGAGGCTTTAAAGATGTCTTCTTGTCTGATTGTTGTTTCTGGTCTGTCTGGTTTCCTGGATGCTGTTTCAATCTGTCTGACCTCATGTTCCATGTTGACCTCTCCAGTCTCTTCCATTGTAACGTGGATCTCTGTATAGATCTTATTTAGAAGAGTTGAATTTCTTGATTGTGTGATTTTTTCGAAAGCATATTGATACTTCTTCCGTAATTTAGATTTTAATTTTTGCTGGCACTCAACAGGAATCTCTGAAGAACAAACAAATGCATAAACTAATTGACTATAAACAACTGTACACATTTCTGTATTCATTTCATTCATTCTATTCAGCTCATTTGACAACTCAGTCGTGAATAGGGAAAATTTTAATCATAGAATGTATTAATATTGTCCTAGCAGTATCTTACAATGGTACTGGTGTTGAAGCGTGAACATTCTACCAGTAGAGGCAAAAAAAGCAGAACTGACTTTGTTAGGTCACTTTTTGTTCTCAGATACACTTTTGAAATGTTTTTCTCTGGTGAATGTTTTTTAAGCCAACGTGCAACAATATATCTGTCCTTCTTTTTAGGTAAGAGAAGGACATTAGCTGAAAAGTAAGTTTAAAGTAAGTAAGATGCAAGTTTGCTCTATGTTACATCCATTTTCTATTTATTTATTTCATACCATGACTTACCTGTGGGTTTTGAGGTCGGTATTGACAATTTCTCTGCAAGATCATTCAGATTCATCTCCCGTAAAACCATTGTGGTCACTTTAATAGTGTTTATACAGTAGGCCTGCACCATCTGATCCACTGTGTCCTCTCTGTCTGCATTCTCCAATTGACTCTTTTTGATGGCTGGGAAGCTTTCCAGAACCCCTTGCAGGTACCACTTGAATTTTCTAAACTCCTCGGTGCCCAAATGCTCCAAAGTTGCAAGAAGGACCCTTTTAGATGCTGCCATCTTTCCTCCCTGAGGATACCCACAGAAAATCAATTACACAATTGACCATTTACTAAGCCCTGATCACTTGCACCATCTGTAAAGCTTTGCATTTTAACTGTTTACAATTGTAATGTTGACCAGAGGTGTGGACTTGAGTCACATGACTTGGTACTCGAGTCAGACTTGAGTCAACTCACTTTGATAAAATCAAAAAGACTTGCATCTCGATTTGGACTTTAATACCAATGACTTTACTTGGACTTGTGTCTTTTGACTTGAAAAGACTTGATACTTTCCCCCAAAGGCAAATATTAAGAAGTAGACTATGTTATCACTTTATCAAAACATGGAAAATAAAGGCCTAAGCTTTGTATTTTAGATCCTTAATTTGTCATCAACAACTCAAATTGGAAATATGCATTGTAACATTGAGAGCTGTGATATTTTTCTGCTGGATTCCACTCAGTTTCCACCTGTAAATCAAAAAGTCATAAGGGCCTGTCTTGTAAGATTGTTTTATGAGACAGATCTTTACTCACAGTGCATCCTGGAACATGACAAAGGCATTGTGAACGTTTTTGTTTTTTTTTTCAAAATCACATCACATAATCACGATCAGCAAACAGCAGGACCCACCTGGCTCTCACTCCCGGAGAAGGATGCTGTTTTTTGGGGGCACGGCACCTCGAAGACTTGATTCTTCTCTTATAAATTGCCAAAGAATCTGCAACACTATTGTGAAAAAAACAGTGAGAGTTAAGTTTTTCTGGTCAAAATCACATAATCAATGTCAGTAAACAGCAGGACTTACAAATTGCCAAAGACACTATCTACTAACTCATTACTGTTGTTTTTTATTTAATCTAAATGTATTTCATCATAGTTATAACAGATTTAGTACTATTAGTTGTTTTGTCTGGTGTGTTTTTAAATGTGTTAGGGTGTAAATGTCAGGGTGGAAGGTGGACATGCTCTTATTTTGACACAAACACAACAGCCCTTGAACAATGTGGAACCTGCATTAAATATACCAGAGCTTATCTAAAGTGCTTTACTGATTATGTATGACGGACATCTGCACATTGACATCATGGACTTTGTAATGAACATAGTGGCAGGCTTAGGGTAAGGGTATTATATTTTATTTTATTATGTTAATGATGTCTTGTCAGCATGTTTTTAATCAGCATTAGATGATAAGGATTTTAATTCTAAAGCTTTGATTTTCTAGGTTGAATAAAACTTTGAACCTGGATGGTGCACATTAACAACCTACAATAAAAATATATGCTGAATATGCACATTTTCAAACTCCTCTCGTATTTTAAACTTCAAACTTATTTGCATACTTGTCTAATGTATATAGTATTTGATCATATGTTTATATTCTCTATTTTATTCTATCTATCTATCTATCTATCTATATATATATATAAAGTACCAAATTAGATTATACATGTAAAATCTGTCAGGATCAACCTGAACTTTAAAGTTCAATATTATATTACTAGAAACTGATTTTTTTTTGGATTATGACAGAGATTCACCTTCAAATTTGTATTATAACTGATTTCGTGCTGCTGCTCTTTACGACATCAGATGTTTTTATTAATATAATAATAATAATAAGAAGAAGAAGAAGAAGAAGAATATAGAGTATAGAGATAGTAGATTCAGCTAACATGGTTATAGTATAGTTTTTGCCTAATCTTGATCTAGCTTTTTTATGAAGATTAGTGACTATATCAAAAACAGAACCATCAACAATTGATTAGGGTGTTAATATTTCAGCCTGGATAAAGTATCATCATCCCAGCTGGTGAACATTTGGAAGTGTATGTATGTCTGTTGAAGGCTTTGAAGGCCAGGGGAGACAAACATTTTAAATACCTTGTACTTTAAGAGCAAGACCATAATGTACAGTACTCAAAATTCTGTATAATATGGGCTTAACAATGATATCATGTAATCTCAATTAATTACACTGGTAATTTAAGACTGAGCCTGGGAAACAAATTTCTTCACAACTAAAAAACTCCACTGCTGAATTCTGCATTAACCCCTTAATTTTGTCTGTAGAGACCTAGGAGTCAACTGATTTCGAACAGGGGGAACAGTAAAGGATCGGATTATGCCTTTATAAAGAAGCAGCAGAAAGAGCTTTGAATTTGTAGATGGCAGAGAGTCTTTAGCTTTTGTGAATGTCTTTGCTGTGTTGTTCAAAACTCAGTTTATTGTCCAAATCCACTTGAGGTTTGGTCATTGTTATCCAAAGACGACCATGATTAAAAGTTGTTATTGTTTTTTATGTTATTTAAGATTTTTTGTCGAAAGATTCAATTCAATTCAATTCAGTTTTATTTGTATAGCGCCAATTCATAACAGAAGATATCTCAGGACACTTTTCAAATAGAGCAGGTCTAGACCGAACTCCTTATAACATTATTTACAGAGACCCAACAGTACCACCATGAGCAAGACCTTGGAGACAAGGGCAAGGAAAAACTGCCTGTTAAAAGGCAGAAACCTAGGACAGATCCTTCGGCTCTAGGTGGGTTGTCGTCTGTCTCGACCAGTTGGGGTGAGAGAGAGAGAGAGAGAGAGAGAGAGAGAGAGAGAGAGAGAGAGAGAGAGAGAGAGAGAGAAGAGAGAGAGAGAGAGAGACAGACAGACAGACAGACAGACAGGTTCACAGCAACAACAGTATTGACAATGGCAATCTAGCAGGACCATGGCAGGAGGCTCCACCAGGATCGATAAGAACCTGCGAGACGAGAAAGTACAAGAACTCCGGGGAAGAAGTGGAGTTAGTAACATGCATTAATGGAACATGAATGAGTGCAGAAAGAGAGAGGAAGAGAGGAGCTCAGAGCACCATGGGAAATCCCCCGATAGTCTAGGCCTATAGCAGCATAACTAAGGGATGGTTCAGGACTCACCTGATCCAGCCCTAACTATAAGCTTTATCAAAGAGGAATGTCTTAGGCCTACTCTTGAATGTGGAGAGGGTGTCTGCCTCCCGAACCACAACTGGAAGCTGGTTCCACAGGAGAGGAGCTTGGTAACTGAAGGCTCTGGCTCCTGTTCTACTTTTAGAGACTATAGGAACCACAAGTAGCCCAGCATTCAGAGAACGTAGTGTTCTAGAGGGGTAATAGGGTACTATGAGCTCTTTAAGATATGAAGGGGCCTGACCATGAAGAGCTTTATAGGTGAGGAGGAGGATTTTAAATTCTATTCTACATTTTATAGGGAGCCAATGCAGAGAAGCTAGTACAGGAGAGATGTGATCTCTTTTTCTAGTTCCTGTCAGTACTCGTGCTGCAGCGTTCTGAATTAATTGGAGCGTTTTAATGGACTTATTGGGGCAACCTGATAATAAAGAGTTGCAGTAATCCAGCCTAGAAGTAACAAATGCATGGATTAGTTTTTCTGCATCTGTCTGTGATAGGATGTGTCTAATTTTTGTAATATTGTGTAAATGAAAAAAGGCAGTCCTAGAGGTCTGCTTTATGTGGGAGTTAAATGACAAATCCTGATCAAAGATAACTCCAAGATTCCTGACATTGGTGCTAGAGGCCAAGGTAATGCCATCTAAAGTAACTATATCTTTAGACAGTGTGTCTCTAAGGTTTTTGGGGCCAAGAACAAGAATTTCGTTTTTTCTGAGTTTAACATCAAAAAATTGCAGGTCATCCAGGATTTTATGTCCTTAAGAGAAATTTAGATAATTGATTAATTTCATTGGGCTTAATCGATAGATATAACTGCGTATCATCTGCATAACAGTGAAAGTTAATGGAGTGATTCCTAATAATGTTGTCTAAAGGGAGCATATATAAAGTAAATAGTATTGGTCCAAGTACAGAACCTTGTGGAACTCCATGACTAACTGTAGTATTTATTGAAGATTCATCGTTAACTTGTACAAACTGCGAACAATCTGATAAATATGACTTAAACCAGCTTAGTGCGGTTCCTTTTAATGCCAATTTGATGCTCAAGTCTTTGTAAAAGAATATTATGGTCAATGGTGTCAAATGCAGCACTAAGATCTAATGATACAAGTACAGAGTCTCTGTGCTATGATGAACTCTAAATCCTGACTGAAAATCCTCAAATAAACTATTGTTATGTAGAAAGTCACACAACTCTTTGGCGACTACTTTCTCCAGAATCTTAGAGAGGAAGGGGAGGTTAGAAATCGGTCTATAGTTGGCTAAAACCCCTGGGTCAAGAGTGGACTTTTTAAGAAGGGGTTTAATTACAGCTACTTTAAAGGACTGTGGTACATATCCTGATAATAAAGAAAGATTAATCATATCCAGTAAAGAAGTGCCAATTAAGGGAACAACTTCTTTAAGCAGCCTAGTCGGGATCGGGTCTAACAGACAGGTTGATGGCTTCGATGAAGAAATTATAAAGTTAACTGATGAAGATTGATAGCAGAGAAACAGTCTAAATATATATCTGAGTTTACATTAGTAAAAGTCCCTGAACTTGGAGAGCCACTGATAACTGTTGATGGCAGTTGGTGATTAATTTTCTCTCTAATAGTAATAATTTTATTATAGAAGAAGCTCATAAAGTCGTTGCTACTTAAGTTTATGGGGATATGTGGCTCAATAGAGCTGTGACTCTCTGTCAGCCTGGCTACAGTGCTGAAGAGGAACCTAGGGTTATTCTTATTTTCTTCTATTAGTGCTGAGTAATAGGCTCCTCTGGCATTACGGAGGGCCTTTCTATAAATTTTAAGATTATCTTGCCAATTTGAGCGATATTCTGATAATTTGGAAGAGCGCCATTTCCTTTCAGATTTCCTAGCTATTTGCTTTAACTGGCGGGTTTGGTGGTTATACCAAGGTGCTAGTCTCCTATGTTTTAATAATTTCTTTTTATAGGAGCGATAGAGTCTAATGTTGATCGTAGTGAGCCTGTAGCAGTATCGACAAGATTATCAATTTCAGAGGGACTAAAGTTGTTATAGGACTCTGTTAAATTCAGACATGGCATTGAATTAAACACTGAAGGAATCTCCTCCTTAAATTTAGCTACAGCACTGTCAGATAGACATCTGCTGTAGGAAGTTTTGCCTAATGGCTTATAATCTAATAGTATGAATTCAAAAGTTACTAAATAATGGTCAGATAGGAAAGGATTATGTGGGAAGACTATTAAATGTTCAATATCAATGCCATATGATAGAACAAGGTCAAGAGTGTGATTAAAACAATGAGTTGGTTTATTTACACTCTGACAGAAGCCAATTGAGTCTATTAATGATATAAATGCATTACTAAGGCTGTCATTGTCAACATCCACATGAATATTAAAATCACCTACAATAATTACTTTATCTGATTTAAGGACTAAGCTTGATAAAAACTCTGAGAATTCAGATATAAAATCAGAGTATGGTCCAGGAGCGCGGTACACTATAACAAATAGAACTGGCTGCAGTGTTTTCCAGTTTGGGTGAGAAAGACTAAGAACAAGGCTTTCAAATGAATTATAATTTAGTTTAGGTTTAGGGTCCATTAAAACGCTCGAATCATATATGGCTGCTACTCCACCTCCTCGGCCTGTGCCTCGAGGAATGTGAGTATTAATATGACTGGGGGGGTGGATTCATTTAGGCTAACATACTCCTCGTGGGACAACCAGGTCTCAGTAAGACAAAGTAAATCAATATCATAATCTGATATTAATTCATTCACTAAAACAGCTTTAGAGGACAGAGACCTGATATTTAACAGCCCACATTTCATTCTCTTATTTTGTGCTACTGAGGAGTTGGTTTTAATTTTTATTAGATTTTTATGTTGAACTCCTCTTGTTTTTATTTCTTTAAATAATTTAGGTGGTCAGGGGACAGACACAGTCTCTATGGGGTTTTGGGTGGGTGACTGTTCTAAAGAAAGAGCAGAGAAGTGTGTAAGACAGCAGCTCTGCTTCCTGGTCCTAACTCTGGACTGTCAGGTTTTAGAAATAAACTTCGCCATATTTCTAGATAAGAGAGCCGCTCCATCCAAAGTGGGATGGATGCCGTCTCTCCTAATCAGACCAGGTTTTCCCCAAAAAGGCTTCCAGTTATCAATGAAGCCCACATCGTTTGCTGGACACCACCTCGACAGCCAGCGGTGGAATGACGACATGCGGCTATACATGTCATCACTGGTCACATTGGGCAGGGGTCCAGAGAAAACTACGGTGTCCGACATTGTCTTAGCATAGTTACACACCGACTCCACATTAATCTTAGTGACCTCCGATTGGCGTAAACGGGTGTCGTTACCGCCGACGTGGATAACAATCTTACTGTATTTACGTTTATCTTTAGCCAGCAGTTTTAAATTTGATTCAATGTCGCCCGCTCTGGCCCCAGGGATACATTTAACTATGGCCGCTGGCTTCACTAACTTCACGTTTCTGACTATGGAGCTGCCAATAACCAGAGTTGGTTCCTCAGCGGGTGTATCGCTGAGTGGGGAAAATGTATTAGAAACATGAATGGGTTGGTGGTGAACTGTGGGCTTCAGTGTTTTAGTCTTCCTTCGCTCAGTCACCCAGCCTCCCTGTCTGCCCGGCTGCTCGGGAACTACTGGGGGAACTACCAGGGGATCTACCGGAGGATATACCGGGGGAACTACCGGGTAAATAACCGCTGTAACGAGTAAAACTAATGTATATTTAGCGTTCACTGACAGAGCTACAGCACCAAACAGTGTACACAGAGCAGGAAGTGAACCGGGAATGAGTCTGTACGCTTACCGTAGCACGTCACACAGAGCTAGCTGATGACAGTAGAAAGATGTGTCTGTGGCGAATATATATGTTTAAATGATTATATTAATATGAACAGTGTTTGATGGCCAGTCAACTATTGGGTTGCATTAACTTCCTAGTTAACTTGAGTCAACTAGGAAAATGTTTAGTTGAGGACCAGACTAATAGTATTATTGTTCATTTGACTGGAAGTTGCCTTCATGGCATATTTGCCATGAAATATTTGACACTTTAGGAGTAAGAACATGTTGTATTGGCACATAATCTTATTGACATGCTACTACAACTGAGACTAATAAAACATTAATGATGCTAAATATGCAAAAACTATAGATTGCAGATCATTTATCACCATTGATGAACCTGACAGGGGATTACAGTGTTTTGCCCTAAAAATCACAAATGTCTGGTAGTTTTTGCTTTATTCTTTGCATTACATTTACAATGTTCAAATCTCAGCCGGCAAGCAGAAGTTGGAACAACACCACTGACTGAGCACTAAAATGCTGTTTGGCAGGAGGACAGTTACCAGTGCTAAAGTGCACGTGTTATTACATATAGTAAAGCACATGTCAAGCATGGCAATTTCTCCCATTCTTTACAGTAAAACTTGCAAGGAAAGACTGAAAATAAAACATAATTCCAAAGGTAGTACAGTCCTGATTCAATGTTCAACAAAGCAACATAACACATCCAGTATCACTATTACTGTTAGCAGATCAGTTTAACACTGACACTCACTGACAGTAACATCATGAAAAGTTGTTGGCTACGTTACCTATTAAAGGTGAAAATAATCTGCCCGAAGCTGATGAGTGAAGATGAGACCAACCAGAGAGAATAAACATGCAACTCTCAGGCGGAGGTATTTAAAGGTCTGACAATTCAGATAAACAGTTCAACCTCTCATTAAAAGAAGATAACAGATCAGCTGTGATTTACAGAATGAACCTTGAACAGTTTAAGTCAACAGTTCAAATCTTTATGAGTTTGACCATAAAGCTCAGATAATGTAGTTTTAGGCGTAGGTACCACATGATCGTGTACCTTTTTGGTGCTGAGTCACTCAGCTGTGCAAACTATGCAAACTATAAAGCTGAGGATAACAGAAAACACTTAAAACACCTAATCCAATTCAATTCAGTTTTATTTGTATAGCTCCAATTCATAACAGAAGTTATCTCAGGACACTTTTCAAATAGAGCAGGTCTAGACTGAACTCCTTATAACATCATTTACAGAAACCCAACAGTTCCACCATGAGCAAGAGCTTGAAGACAGTGCCAAGGAAAAGCTTCCTTTTAAGAGGCAGAAACCTCAGACAGTAGACAATAATAACAATAATATCAGTGATATTAGCAGTGGGAGTCAAGCAGGACCATGGCAGCAGGCAGCACCAGGATCCATGAGAACCTGCATGTTGTGGGGTTCTATTTCAAACACCTAATAAACTCAGGTGTAGTCTGAAGATATGGTTGGTGTAATTTAAGGTAAAAAAAAAATGTAAAGGTGATAATATTTACAGAAAGTTTGAAAAAGGATAAACAAATGCTATTTACAATGTTTCAAAAATAAATAAATACATAAAACTATCACAACAAGTACTTCTTCAATTATTCATTATTGCGGTCTCTGCTGCCGCTCTCCTCATCTTAAACTTTTCCACGTAGGCACGTGGAAGGGCAAGGAGGTCCCAGAACAGAGCCATACCACCAAATGTAATATTCTGCTCTGGACATAGAAGTTCTTTTGACAAAAGTGGTCCTGACTGAACAAGTTATTATGGCAAGAATTAATATTACAAACAACACATCACACTATGAGAAAGCACAAGAACTCCGGGGAAGAAGTGAAGTTAGTAACATGCATTAATGGGACATGAATGAGTGCAGAAAGAGAGAGGAAGAGAGGAGCTCAGTGCACCATGGGAAATCCCCCGATAGTCTAGGCCTATAGCAGCATAACTAAGGGATGGTTCAGGACTCACCTGATCCAGCCCTAACTATAAGCTTTATCAAAGAAATGTAGTAGAAATGAGAGGTAGTTTGGAAGCTTTAACAATAGCGCTTTATGAATGAATAACAGAAGATGGTGATTTCTTCTTGACTGTAGGGAAGTCCTTGTGTCATGAACCTGCTCTAGGCTCATGACAAAGTAGGGAGAGCACACAGAGAATTTAAATGTTTTAAACTGTAATGGAAAATTTTAATACACTATAATACACTATATGTAACCTCGTGCTTATGAACTACTGTGTGTGCAAAATGTAAATCTGTTCCAAGGTTGCTCTCAGCACCTGTTAATTTTCCCACACGATAAAGACTAACAGTCAACCTGTGGTTACAATGTCTCTGTTATTGAGGGAGGAGAGGATGAACCCGGTGGAGACTGGCTCCAGGCATCTCCTATGAATACAAGGTCATGATGCTCGTTAGCATGACTAGCTGTTATCTACTTTGTGCCTCCTGTTTTTACTCTTCAATAAATAAGGGTGCAGCCCTGAGAAGGGAGACCTTCTCAGGGCTGAGAGAGAGAGAGAGAGAGAGAGAGAGATTACTGATCAGCCATTTATAAAGACCAGCAATCAGAACACACCAGGTGTAGCCCATCTGGTGGCCACACCCTCTGCCACTCTGTCTCCTGTAAAGAAGGGAAAAAGACCCAGACCAACCAGAGGGGGGAGGGGTCATCACACTTGCAACCCTTTGATACAGAGAACAGTGGTGGGTACGAAATATGTCATTGGTTGTAAAGCTTAATGCACTGTGATATTTAGGTGGCTGCACCCCAGATTGCTCCTGATGCTGTGCATTGGTGATGGATGGATGTGTATGAATGAGTTAGTTCAGTCTGATGGGCTTTGCCAGAGTTTTGAGTGGTCAGAAGACTAGCACTATACAAGTACAGTCCATTTAACAAACACAGTTTAACTGCTGAAGTGTTGATAGGGTTGGTGAGCACCATCTAGTGGACAGATTATAGAATTGTATAATCTGATGTGTGTATTTCTGAGGTTAGACCGGTTCTGACGTCACTCTGGTGTTTGTTAGACTTAGACTGTGAAGTTTTGAGGCGTCCTCAGATCAAATGCACACAGACACCAGGACTGACGAAGAAGAAAGGAACAGCTTCTTCTCTCCCAGTGTTTCCTCCACACATGAAGGTAGAAAGTGTCTGTAAATTGACCTGAAGTGAGTTCAGCAGGTGAGAATCCTACCAGAGAAATGTGTAAATGTTTGATCATCAGGATGACTTTGATCACATTGTGCTGTATTTCTGACGCTTCATGGATGCTTCAAAATATGAATATGGATGAATTTGTTGAATGTGTAAATATTTCTTATTATTATTCTTGACTCTTTACTTGAGTTCTGGTAAGTTAAAGATCGATGATTTGAGGATTATTTTCAGATTTCACTTTTAATGGCTCACAGGAAATGATCAGTGAAAAATGCGGAGCTGACAGGTCAGAGAGCTGCCCTACAACATGTTATTCATGTGGTTTCTGTGGTCTCTGTTCTAGTGCATGTCAGTCATCAAGGTAGCCAACAAACAGGATGTCTACGTTCTCTACCTCCCGAATGAAGCTTACACGCTATATTATGGTTTCATAATGTATTTATAAATATACCTATTTTTTCTCACCAAGCATCACACAATTTCCATTCCAGTTCAGTAGAATCAGGTAACTACACGAACTGGCTGCTAAGAGACAAAATGGTGGTGCAATACCACACAAATAATTATTGAACACCACCATGGTAGATTTAGTGATAAACATAATATATGAATTATTAAAATGTTTTCTAAGCAAGAACAAATTGAATAAATATAAAGAAATAGTGCTGCCACATTAAATTATGGGACAAATTTTGGAATTATAACAAAACTAAAGTTTTAAAGAAGGATGAGAAGAATTTTATTTCTAAGAAATTAATTTTGGGGCTGCCATAAATATGTTGCTAAGAAAAGACAATCATGGGGTTGCTGTTCCAAAGTATCTACTTTTCTAATTTAGTTTAATTTATTTTACCAGGATAATCCACTCAATCAATACGGATTACCAAATTATGGATATAAAAAAGTAATTTGGGCATTATATATTATAAATGTGTGGGTCTGTCCTGAGATCTGAAGATAAACAGTAGAAACAGATATCCAAAAGTACTGGATAAATGGTGGCATGACAGCACAGAACCGTAATCAGTAACAGACATGAAGGTTGACTACACAATCGCTTTACGGTTGGATGAAGACAGACATCCTTTAGTTCTGTACAAGAAGCCCAGTTTTAGTTTACATTTTTGAGTCAGCTGCTGAATATGGGTCTGGCCTACCAGGGATATAAAATCATACATTGGCAAAGAAAAACAGAATGTTAAAGCACTGATTGAGAATAATTATGTTATTTATATATAAGGTAAACAGAAAAGGGCCATGGATAGACCCCTGTAGAATCCCAGCTCTGGTGGTAAAATGTCATCAGCAAAAACAGTCTGAGCTCTGCAGGTAAGAGTGGAGTCAGTTAAGCACAGTGTCATCTAGACTTATAGACTGTAGTTGGTGGAGTAGGATTTTATGTTTAACTATGTCAGATGCTTTAGAAAGATCATGAAAAGGGCAGCACAGAATAGTTTTTATCCAGGGAGGAAACAGTGTTATCAGTGACTGAAGGTGCAGCTGTTAAACCAGACTGCTGTGGCTGAAGTAGGTTTAGTCAGTCAATAATAGTTGTAAGTTGACCAGTGCTAGTTTGGATATTGGGTGGTAATCGTTAAGATCAGATACATCACCAGTTTGGTTTACTATGGCACTTTTCTATGAAGCTGGGATCATGCCTGTTAAAAAGGTTAGATTAACAATATGTGGATCTGGTAGAGCGTGGAGGTTCTGTTCCAATCCTGCAATCTCGTCAGCAAGATGAGCTCAGCTGACAGAGCCGGAGGGAGTCATGGATTGTGGTGGGGTGGCTGGGAGGCCAGTACAAAGGCTACAGAAGAGTGTGAACAATGCAATTGACCAGTTGTGGGGGGTAGAAACCGTTGACGGGGAGGGCTCTGGCACTTACACAATGGACCCTCGGACCTAGCACTGGAATAAATGTGCAAAAATCCAGAAAGATCCAAGGTGCTGATACATTTGTATCCAGACAGAAGATTAGAGAGTGGATCTTGGACAGATTTTATTTTTATATGATGTAATATCATATAATATGATATGATGTACAGATCTGTACTTAATACAGATCCATAAACTGTAAAGCATTGGATCTTTCTGGATACAAGTTGTTTTTGTCCAGTGCGGTGTGGAAGTGGGTCGCCCAGAGCGATGACATGGTTGCAGCAGAAGTGATCCAAAGACAGAACATCAAGCAGGGAAAACTAACCAACACAGGCTCAACAAGTTGGCTGCTGCAGAAACAGGCTTCAGCTGGTGGTATGTAGTGTCTTGACAGCCAGTATAAGTGGTCCTAATTGGCTATCTTAAATTCCAGGTCTGATGACTCAAATCCTTTATCAAGTTAAAATGTATAGTTAAAACCCACCAAGATCAAGAAACTGGATAAATAGTGCATTTATGTCAGGGCCTCTGACAGGTAGACATGCTCCAGTGCACTGTAAATAATTCAATTCAATTCAATTCAATTTTATTTGTATAGCGCCAATTCATAACAGAAGTTATCTCAGGACACTTTTCAAATAGAGCAGGTCTAGACCGAACTCTTTATAACATTAATTACAGAGACCCAACAGTACCACCATGAGCAAGCACTTGGAGACAAGGGCAAGGAAAAACTGCCTGTTAAAAGGCAGAAACCTAGGACAGATCCTCCGGCTCTAGGTGGGTGGTCGTCTGTCTCGACCAGTTGGGGTGAGAGAGAGAGAGAGAGAGAGAGAGAGAGAGAGAGAGAGAGAGAGAGAGAGAGAGAGAGAGAGAGAGAGAGAGAGAGAGAGAGAGAGAGGTGCACAGCAAATACTGGTGTAGGAACCTTGTGCATGTTGTACTGGTTGCAAGTGGAACAATTAAACCAAGGGGTTAACATTCGTGCAGCTGTGTAGTTCCTCTGTGTATCTAATTTCTGTGTACCTATAGACAACTGATCACTTTGATCACACATGTTACTTCATACTGTACACTCAGGGTGTATCAGGAGGTTGAAAATGTTAACCGTGTTTGGAGTTTTTGTCATAGTTTTATTATTTAAATGTCCAAGTTTGATGAGATCATAAGATACAAAAACTGTTGGTGTGGTGGAATACATTTGGGAAACTTTACTTTGTCTGCTGCTGCATTCAATCTTTCAGTGCTGATCTTTATTTTATTAGAGGGTTAGTTAGCACCATCTAGTGGACAGATTATAGAACTGTATAATCTGATGTGTGTCTTTCTGAGGTTAGACTGGTTCTGACGTCACTCTGGTGTTTGTTAGACTTAGACTGTGAAGTTTTGAGGGTGTGACGGCGTCCTCAGATCAAATGCACACAGACACCAGGACTGACGAGGAAGGAAGGAGCAGCTTATTCTCTCCCAGTATTTCCTCCACACATGAAGGTATAAAGTGTCTGTAAATTGACCTGAAGTGAGTTCAGCGGGTGGGAATCCTACCAGAGTAGGTAAATGTAAATGTTTGATCATCAGGATGACTTTGATCACATTGTGCTGTATTTCTGACGCTTCATGGATGCTTCAAAATATGAATATGGATGAATTTGTTGAGTGTAAATATTCTTGATTCTTTACGTGAGTTCTGTTAGAGTTGATGATTTGAGGATTATTTTCATGTATCACTTTTAATGGCTCACAGGAAATGATCAGTAAAAAATGCAGAGTTGACAGGTTGGAGAGCTGCCCCAGAACATGTTTTTAATGTGGTTACTGTGGTCTCTGTTCTAGTGCATGTCAGTCATCAAAGTAGTCAACAAACAGGATGTCTACGTTCTCTACCTTCCGAATGAAGCAGTTACACGCTGCTATGGTTTCATAATATATAACTACACTAACTGGCTGCTAAGGGACAAAATGGTGGTGCAATACCACAAAAATAATTATTGAATGCCACCATGGTAGATTTAGTGATAAAAATAGAATATATGAATTATTAAAATGTTTTCTGAGCAAGAACAAATTGAATAAATATAAAGAAATAGTGCTGCCATGTTAAATTATGGGACACAATTTGGAATTATAACAAAACCAAAGTTTTAAAGAAGGATGAGAAGAATTTTATTTCTAAGAAATTAATTTTGGGGCTGCCATAAATATGTTGCTAAGAAAAGACAATCATGGGGTTGCTGTTCCAAAGTATCTACTTTTCTAATTTAGTTTACTTTATTTTACCAGGATAATCCACTCAATCAATACGGATTACCAAATTATGGATATAAAAAAGTAATTTGGGCATTATAAATTAGAAATGTGGGGGTCTGTCCTAAAATCTGAAGATAAACAGTAAAAACAGATCCAAAAGTACTGGATAAATGGTGGCATGACACCACAGAACCATAATCAATAACAGACATGAAGGTTGACTGCTACTTTATGGTTGGATGAAGACAGACATCCTTTAATTCTGTACAAGAAGACAAAACTAAAATAGTAAAAATAGTTGCGAATTTCTTTTGTATAATAAAAAAAAGATCAAAGACAGAAGAAGCTCCAGTAATTTGTAATGTATGAAGGGATGTGGAACATTTCTAAGATTCCTATTGTAAGGTCTACTACCACTACTCTTTGGTACCAGTATCAGTAGAAGTAGCAGTACTAACAGTAGTTGTATCAATAGAAATAGAAGTAAAGTGTTACACACACGTGAAGTGTGGTTTTATGTACAACATTCCCAAATTTGGTTGCAATCAATACAGAATTAAAGAATTATGTCCCGTTAAGTGCATCAGGTCATGCCTTTAAATGTTCAATAACCAATTACAGACAAACAATAAGTGATACCCAAACACAAACCTATAAGTCTTCTTTGATTGCATCAATATATACTGTGTTTACATTTTGGTGAATATTAGATGAAATATTTGCAAAAAGAAGCTAAAAATGTTTTCATTAAAAAATCCAAAAAGGCACAATATTTTTACAGTGTGAATGGGCGTGGCCTATATTCGCATAATCCAACGGAGGGCACTGTACAAAAATTATTCTACTCCTTATGGGTTCATGAGTTATTAGCAAAAACGTAAAAAATTCTTAATAACCGACCACATGGTGTCAAGCATTTGTCAAATACTTTGGTGACATTTAATCAGACACTTTCTACTGTGCGTACAGTACTAATAACATTAAGACATTTACAGTAACTGTGGACTCACTGAGAAAATGTGCATATTTTGAAAACTATAGAGATGTTGAGCAGACCATAAGCTGCAGTGAGGTAAACTTTGTTCACAATTAAGTTAACGTGTTAAAAAAAACTCCAGCTCTGTAGGACGTACGGGTGAATTTATTTTGGTTTGTGTTTCTATGTTCTGGCACTATTGAATACATGCTTTAATATGTTTAGCACATCTTTATGGGGTGTACCAGGGTTGATAATTAAGCATGTACAGTTTTTCAGATTTTGATGCATACATGGTAAATGGATTGTACTCTTATAGTCTTTCTAGTCTTTTTGACCAGTATTCAAAACCTTGTTGTAATAAAAGTCCATCCTCATTACTTGCTTTTGGGACCAGTTGGGTTTTGGGTTACTGTTTAGAACTTTTATTTTTTCTGTTGACATTTGTAGATATTTTGGGCTCACACATCCAACCAATAGTATCTTATAACAATATATTGTTGTATCTTTATAGGGAAGGCAGATGGGGACACCTAAACAGGTCGTCTTGGGAACTTTGGAGGATTTGGGAGCCGAGGACTTAAAAATATTCAAGTGGTACCTGCAGCAGTCAGAGGTCCTGGCAGGCTTCCCAGCAATCCCAAAGAGTCGACTGGAGAATGCAGACAGGGTGGACACAGTGGATCAGATGGTGCAGACCTACTGTATAAACACTATCAAAGTGACCAGAATGGTTCTGGAGAAGATGAATCTAAATAATATGGTTGAGAATTTATCAAACACCATCACAAAACCTACAGGTAGGTCATTAAAAAGGATCTGCTAAAGTAAGAAGGTGAATATTACATAATGTGTGCATAAGTAAGGTAATTGACAATTGACAGTGACAGGGCTGTCTAGACTATTGGAAGAACACACATATTTTTTAAATTGATGCTATATGACCCGAGAAAACAGAGAAAAGGGGTTGTGGTATTCCCTTTTGCTCAAAAGGTATAAATGCTACAATAATTGAACTTGACTGGGCCACAACTGTCATGATTTAAGGTTAAACCAGACTTTGCTGCCAGACAACTGTGAATGTTGAAATGGTGAAGGGGAATTATCCAGGGAAGGCTTGGCAGAGAGAATCCAGGGAATGAGGGCTGGCTGACGGCAGATGGTGATAGTTTCTGTTAGGCAGTGGTGATTGATGGCAGGCAGGTGTGCAGAGAGGAGGATCCTGGAGCCTGAGAGAGGGAAGAGACCAATCCCCACACACAATGTCATGTTTCCCTTTAAAGAGGAGCAACTCTGGGAGCAATCTACAAAAAAGCAACGAGATACAGTGTCCTGATTCAAGGCAATTTAAATGAACATAGAAATGTGCTTATCGTTTTTAGATGACTCCCATTTACTGCAACATCCTCTCAACTATGACATCTCATTTTTATTCATTCAGATATTCTTTCGGAGTGTCAGCATAAACTCAAATCCAACCTGAAGAAAAAGTTTCAATATGTTTTCGAGAAAATCACAAAAGCAAGGAAGGAAATGCAAGGAAATTCAAAACATCTACATGACATCTACACTGAGATCTACATCATGATGGAAGAAACTGGAGAGGTCAACATGGAGCATGAGGTCAGAAAAATTGAAACAGCATCCTGGAAACCAGATAGACCAGAAACAACAATCAGACAAGAAGACATCTTTAAACCCTCACCTGGAAGAGATGAACCAATCAGAACAGTGATGACAAAGGGAGTGGCTGGCATTGGGAAAACAGTCTTAACACAGAAGTTCACTCTGGACTGGGCTGAAGACAAAGCCAACCAGGACATACAGTTCATATTTCCATTCACTTTCAGAGAGCTGAATGTGCTGAAAGAGAAAAAGTACAGCTTGGTAGAACTTGTTCATCTCTTCTTTACTGAAACCAAAGAAGCAGGAATCTACAGGTTTGAAGAGTTCCAGGTTGTGTTCATCTTTGACGGTCTGGATGAGTGTCGACTTCCTCTGGACTTCCACAACACTGAGATCCTGACTGATGTTACAGAGTCTACCTCAGTGGATGTGCTGCTGACAAACCTCATCAGGGGGAAACTGCTTCCCTCTGCTCGCCTCTGGCTAACCTCACGACCTGCAGCAGCCAATCAGATCCCTCCTGAGTGTGTTGACATGGTGACAGAGGTCAGAGGGTTCACTGACCCACAGAAGGAAGAGTACTTCAGGAAGAGGTTCAGAGATCAGGAGCAGGCCAGCAGAATCATCTCTCACATCAAGACATCACGAAGCGTCCACATCATGTGCCACATCCCAGTCTTCTGCTGGATCACTGCTACAGTTCTGGAGGATGTGTTGAAGACCAGAGAGGGAGGAGAGCTGCCTAAGACCCTGACTGAGATGTACATCTACTTCCTGGTGGTTCTGTACAAACTGAAGAACATCAAGTATGATGGAGGAACTGAGACAGATCCACACTGGAGTCCAGATAACAGGAAGATGATTGAGTCTCTGGGAAAACTGGCTTTTGAGCAGCTGCAGAAAGGCAACCTGATCTTCTATGAATCAGACCTGACAGAGTGTGGCATCGATATCAGCGCAGCCTTAGTGTACTCAGGAGTGTTCACACAGATCTTTAAAGAGGAGAGAGGACTGTTCCAGGACAAGGTCTTCTGCTTCATCCATCTGAGTGTTCAGGAGTTTCTGGCTGCTCTTCATGTCCATCTGACATTCATCAACTCTGGAGTCAATCTGCTGGCAGAACAACAAACAACATCCTGGTGGGGACTGTTTCTATTTAGCAACAAACCTGAACCAACAAATCTCTACCAGAGTGCTGTGGACAAGGCCTTACAGAGTCAAAATGGACACCTGGACTTGTTCCTCCGCTTCCTCCTGGGTCTTTCACTGCAGACCAATCAGACTCTCCTACGAGGTCTGCTGACACAGATAGGAAGTAGCTCACAGACCAATCAGGAAACAGTTGGGTACATCAAGGAAAAGATCAATGACAATATTTCCCCAGAGAGAAGCATCAATCTGTTCCACTGTCTGAATGAACTGAATGATCGTTCTCTAGTGGAGGAGATCCAACAGTCCCTGAGTTCAGGAAGTCTCTCTACAGATAAACTGTCTCCTGCTCAGTGGTCAGCTCTGGGCTTCATCTTACTGTCATCAGGAAAAGATCTGGATGTGTTTGACCTAAAGAAATACTCTGCTTCAGAGGAGGCTCTTCTGAGACTGCTGCCAGTGGTCAAAGCCTCCAGCAAAGCTCTGTAAGTGGATTGGTAATAGATAAATTAACTGAGTAAAATGTACTACATGCATTTGATGAAAAATAAAACTTTTTCATCTATTAATTTTTCTTAAGGCTGACCAGCTGTAACCTCTCAGAGAGAAGCTGTAAAGCTCTGTCCTCAGTTCTCAGCTCCCAGTCCTCTAGTCTGAGAGAGCTGGACCTGAGTAACAACGACCTGCATGATTCAGGAGTGAAGCTTCTCTCTGCTGGACTGGAGAGTCCACACTGTAAACTGGGAACTCTGAGGTCAGGATTCAACAGTTTGTTACACGGATTACTGTTGCATAGCTTTAAATTAGCTGTTTTACCAATTCTTTGCAACTTTTGTTCCTAGGAATAGCTTTTCCCTAGTGTATTGCTTTATTTCCCTTAATTTGATGTTCAGTCCTTGGAAGCAATTTCTGGAGCCAATTGAGGGAAAACTTTTAAATTAAACATATAGCAACTCAGGTCAACCATTTTTATTGGTATCATCTGACTGAATTTTGACGACTAATTCCAGGTTGTCAGGCTGTCTGATCACAGACGAAGGCTGTTGTTCTCTGGCCTCAGCTCTGAGATCCAACCCCTCCCATCTGAGAGAGCTGGACCTGAGCTACAACCATCCAGGAGACTCAGGAGTCAAGTTGCTGTGTGCTGGACTGGGGAATCCAGACTGGAGACTGGACACTCTCAGGTACAACTAACACTGTTTCTTGGTTACACTGACAAACTAAGGAACACTGATTCATGTTGAACAGCATTTAACATGAGTATTGGATGGAGAATCACTCAGTAATTCATAATCCAAGAGAATATTCTGGTTTGACTGGGTTTCTTCCTCCAGGGTGGACCATGGTGGAGAACAGAGACTGAAATCTGGTCTGAAGAAGTGTAAGTGCAGATTCAGTTTGACTACTGAGAACAGAACAGAATTTACTAATTAAAACTATATTATTAAATAAACAATAAACAAAGCTAAGCATGGAATTAGATGATAAACTGCTGTGTTGTGTCTTTTTCTCTCCATCAGATTTCTGTGAACTCACAGTGGACCCAAACACAGTGAACAGAAAGCTCAGACTGTCTGACAACAACAGGAAGGTGACACTGGAGCAGAAATATCAGTCATATCCTGATCATCCAGAGAGATTTGACTACTGGTATCAGCTGCTGTGTAGAAATGGTCTGACTGGTTGCTGTTACTGGGAGGTCGAGTGGGAAGGAGAGGTTTGTGTAGCAGTGACTTACAGAGGAATCAGCAGGAGAGGAAACAGTGATTACAGCAGGTTTGGAGGAAATGATCAGTCCTGGACTCTGACGTGCTCTGAGGATGGATACACCGTCTGGCACAATAACAGAGAAACTGTCATCTGTCTCTCCTCCTCCTTCTTCTCCTCTGTCTCTAACAGAGTAGCAGTGTATGTGGACTGTCCTGCTGGCACTCTGTCCTTCTACAGAGTCTCCTCTGACACACTGATCCACCTCCACACCTTCAACACCACATTCACTAAACCTCTGTATCCTGGGTTTCTGTTCTGGTCGTATGACTCCTCAGTGTCTCTGTGTTCTCTGTAGGAGGGAAACAACCTCACAATATTATAATAAACCTGTGCACTTTTCACTTCAAGGCCACCGTACTTGTGTTCAAACTGACTGTGTTCATCTTTAAGTTTCATGTGTTTTGTCTGCAATGAGGAGGAGCCTGTGTACAGGTGTGTGTTTGTGAGGAGGATCCTGTGTACAGGTGTGTGTTTGTGAGGAGGATCCTGTGTACAGGTGTGTGTTTGTGAGGAGGATCCTGTGTACAGGTGTGTGTTTGTGAGGAGGAGCCTGTGTACAGGTGTGTGTGTGTTTGTGAGGAGGAGCCTGTGTACAGGTGTGTGTGTGTGTTAGTAAGGCGGAGCCTGTGTACAGGTGTGTGTGTGTTAGTAAGGCGGAGCCTGTGTACAGGTGTGTGTTAATAAGGAGGAGCCTGTGTACAGGTGTGTGTTTGTGAGGAGGAGCCTGTGTACAGGTGTGTGTTAGTAAGGCAGAGCCTGTGTACAGGTGTGTGTTTGTGAGGAGGAGCCTGTGTACAGGTGTGTGTTTGTGAGGAGGAGCCTGTGTACAGGTGTGTGTTTGAGGAGGAGCCTGTGTACAGGTGTGTGTTTGTGAGGAGGAGCCTGTGTACAGGTGTGTGTTAGTGAGGAGGAGCCTGAGTACAGGTGTGTGTTAGTAAGGAGGAGACTGAGCTGAGCCTGTGTCAGTGTTAGGGTTATAGGAGGAAGTTAAGTACAGATACCTTAAGAAAGTACTGAAGTAGAGTGAGGAAGTATTTGTACTTCATTACTTCCCTCTGTGGCTGTACACGGTGGCGGATCAGTGAACAGGGTCCCGAGAGGGCAGACTGTTGGTTAAAACTGAAAGAGGAACTGAACAATAATGAAGTCACATATTGGTGAAGCAGAAGAAAATGCTGCAGTTAGATTGAGATGGCGAAGCAGCGAGGGATCATGGGATTTGTTGTCTTCACCACCAGCTTCTCTTGTCATTGTGCATGCTGGCTCACTGGAAAGGCTCTGATACACTAAATGGAACAGAGCCTTAATTATTATCATTGACGCGTTTTAAAGCTTTTTTCCTTCATTATTTTCCCATATTTTCAGTCAAGAACCTCCTGAACACAGCTGCTGTGCTCAGTTCAGCATAAATATCTGTCTCATTTATTTCCTTTATTTCTTTATTTATATTTTTACCTTTTCAGAATACACTGTAAAAAATAAATCTTTACCGTTTTTACATTTAATAATAATAATAATAATAATACAATAATTATTTGTTGTGTAATTTTACATAGATTTGTTTGTTAATGAGAAATATCTTGTATAATAAATAATATATAATATAATAATGTTTTCACAACAGAAACATTGAATTCATGTTGTTTATCAGTGTATAAGCATTGGTAAACTGTCAAAATACAGTTTTTGTCAGTGTAAACAGCAATAAAAATAAGAAAAATGCAAGTTTTTACAGGCTCAAGAAAAATAAATTACAAAAGATTTTATGTCAAAGTAAAGTTAAGCTTTTAAACTGTATAAGTGTGTATAAGTGTGTATATATTCTCAAAATGTATTTATTATTTCTTCCTTTGTTTCTTTTGGGTGTTTTATGTTATTTTAAGTAAAGTTGATGAACGCTGTATTTATGTTGAAATTAGGTTTATTAGTCTTTATTAGTCTCTTATGTAAAGGCTGAGATTCTCTGAAATGTAACCTCTGAACCTCAGTACAGTACAGGAGGCGGTTCCACAGAAACAAACAGTGAAATATAAGTGGGTTTAATCAGACTGTACTGTGTCAGTAATGAGGAGGGAGAGACAGCAGCCATCTTGGACTGAGCATCTTATAAAGGCTGCAACCAGGTGGGTTAATAATAATGTTTTATTGATGATGAAATACTTTATTAACAGAACATTCACATTACAGCACATACAGCAGTACAGAGACAGCACAGGGACAAATACATCCACTCATACATAATCAGACAGAACAAACAGATGAATGAAAACAGAGGACTGAATGTGATGAAGGACGGCTCAGTTCCACTAACTGTAACAGTGACAGAGAACCTCCCCTAAATGGAATGCAGCCATCATTGATACACCTGTCAGTTTCCTGCTGGGACACGTCAAAGCCTTTTTATGTATTATATATATATATTTACATTATAGTTCAGTAGAGTTTGTTTAGGGATCAGTCTGTTATCATCAGAGTCATTAATACTGAATTTATCCGACGATTTCATGTCAGTGGCTGCTGTGAAAAAGGTCCTGATCCTCCTTCAGCTGTAGGACATCAACACAAAGCTGCACAACAACAACAACAACAACAACAACAACAGACTGAAGATCTGGAGTGTATCGGCCCACCTCTTCTTCCTGAAGGAGGTCTGGTTGTTGTCCAGGTGAGTCCTCTTTCTGAAGGAGGTCCGAGTGTTGTCCAGATGAGTCCTCCTGCTCGGACCCAGTGGTCCTAAACATTTCACAAACTGATTCACTTCTGTTGAAGTATCAAGAACCACTGGACCAGAGAGGATCCTCAGAGTCCGCCAGGCAGTGACGCTCTGATCCACGTCCTCAGACCTTTATACCCTGAACCTGGTCCCTGACGTCAGACCTGTCTGACAGGGGCAGTACCTGCCGGGCCGGTCCTTCAGGGTACACCTGAGCTGTGGACTCACCTGCTCCACCTGTTAGTTCACCATCGAACCCTCCAGAGTCCTGGTCTGGTATCAGTCAGACTCTCTGAGGAGGATTCTTGTTGTTATTGATCTGACTAATTATTATTGATTATTACTGATTATTGATGAGGAATCAGACAGACAGACAGACAGACAGACAGACAGACAGACAGAGTGATCAAGAGAGTTTTCAGGTGAACAGGAAGTAAAACAGGTGGTTCGGCTGCATTCCTCCTGATGATTATCAGCAGCAGGTGAGTCGCTGTCCAACCAAAAACACTCAAACTTAAAAACTACAGAAGTTAAAATATAAAGTTCAGTGTTTGATAACCAGCTGTTACACTCTTTCAGCAGGTTGAACAGAGAGAGAGAGAGAGAGAGAGAGAGAGAGAGAGAGAGAGAGAGAGAGAGAGAGAGTGTGTGTGTGTGTGTGTGTGTGTGTGTGTGTAGAATCAGTGTTTGTGTCTCCAGGAAATCAATGTTTGTGTTTAATGACCTGAAACAGAACTCAGTAAACTCTAGAGCTATGTTCTATATGAAGCTGATTCAATCAATAATCTATAATCAATAAACAGTGTATAAACTCTAGAGCTATGTTCTATATGAAGCTGATTCAATCAATAATCTATAATCAATAAACAGTGTATAAACTCTAGAGCTATGTTCTATATGAAGCTGATTCAATCAATAATCTATAATCAATAAACAGTGTATAAACTCTAGAGCTATGTTCTATATAGAGCTGATTCAATCAATAATCAATAAATCACTTAATAAACACAGTTAGTGAGAGTTTTATTTATTTATAAATATTTATTTATTATAATCTTTAGTTTACTTTAAAGTACAATTATCATAAAAATACTGTTTTATTTTAGAATATAATATAGAACTGAGATCAGATCTGTGTCTGAACCAGCTGACTCACAGTCACGTTATTATTATTATTATTATTATTATTATTATTAAAAAGCCTTTGTGTCCCCAAACAGGAAGCAGCTGTAGGGGGATATGTGTGTTCACCAGAAGGTGTCAGTAGAGGCTTTGGTGTGACTGATCCAGCTGATGGTGGATCTCTGATGGATCTCTGATGGATCTCTGATGGTGGATCTCAGGTGATGTTTCCCACAACCTGTGTCACAGTTTATTTCAGGGCTCAGAGGTAGAGCGGGTTGTCCACTAATCAGAAGGTTGTTGGTTCGATCCCCGGCTCCTCCAGCTGCATGTTAAAGTATCCTTGAGCAAGACACTGAACCCCAAACTGCTCCTGATGCTGGACTACTGTGTGAATGTGAATGAATGAGTTAGTTTCTGTTCAATGTGCCATCCCTGTGTGAAAGGGTGAATGTGGCTGTAGTGTAAAAGCACCAGGAAGGTCCTATACAAGTGTTTAATGTGAGAACTCAGATTGTGTAAAACTGAAGGTAATTGATTGATCTGATTGATCCTCACAGTATTCAGAACCATGAAGGTATCAGTGGATTACTGAACTCTCAGTTATCATGAAGTCATAAATCATACTTTGTTGTTGTTGTTTCCTCCCTGTTTCAGTAAATAAAAGCAACTGAAGCTAACTGCTGTCTGTTCTTACTGCTGATCTACTGCTTTCTGTAATGGGTGCACAATATTGGATCCAATCACAGCTTTTAAACAGCTGTACACTACACTAAAACTGAAATCAAAGATCTAAGCTCAGAGTTAAACCTACCACCTTTGGGTCAGTGTTTGACCTGCAGAGGTCAGTGTTTGACCGGCAGGGGTCAGTGTTTGACCCGCAGAGGTCAGTGTTTGACCCGCAAGGGTCAGTGCTTGACCGGCAAGGGTCAGTGTTTGACCCGCAGAGGTCAGTGTTTGACCAGCAGGGGTCAGTGTTTGACCCGCAGAGGTCAGTGTTTGACCAGCAGAGGTCAGTGTTTGACCCGCAGAGGTCAGTGTGTGACCGGCAGGGGTCAGTGTGTGACCGGCAGAGGTCAGTGTTTGACCCGCAGAGGTCAGACTGACTCTATGAACAATCACAACTTCACATTGTTATTCTCATCAGAAACAGACCTGCAGCAGCAACTCCTACATCTCCTGCAATGCTGCTGAATAGTTAGTTGAAGCCTCACTGCCTTCTGCTCAGAGAGAAGAAACATCTTATTGATTGATCTTTATTGAGTCAGTAGATAAAGACAGAACAGATGAATAAAGTAAAAACACACACAAGGCAAAAGAAGAGAAGAAATGTTTCTTTATCATCATTCATCATAAGTAAATAGCATATACATTAATGTTGATGGACTGATTCTCTGCCTACCCACAGAGGTTTGTTAGAGCTCTCCCAGGTCTTTGTTGGGTTTGTATAACGAGAAACAAGAAGACACACGTGTGCACCTGTTTCTACCTGAGGAAGGAAAGGACACACACTAAGTGTGACTCAGAGGGGCTGGGTTTCCTTCAGGGCCGCGCTCACTCTGACTGTACTGAATTGTACAGTGTGACACTAATGGGCCACCGACTGTACAGGACACCGTCTGAGGGCAGTCCTGTCCAACACACTGCTGTAAAATCAGACACCAGTCCTCTCAGCACTGCACTCGTCTCCTTCATGGAAAACTGTCCAGGAAGGACATTTAGGACATTTAGGACATCATTTAATTGACTATTAGACGGCAGCACAGAACAAATAGTTCCCGAGTTCAACAACAATGAAACCAAATGCAGGGAGTCGTAGTTGACCGTTCCAGTAACTGTGAAGAGCTGCACACAGTGTGGAGGAAATGACATGTAACTGATCTCAGGCCAGATGAGGAAGAGTATCATCAGTGTGGTGGTATGATGAAGGCTGGATGTTGAAGTGTCCACACAAACTAATCAGACACCAGAATATCTTCATCAGACGGATCAATAAAGGAGTTAAACCATAAAGTCATAAACTGAATTCTTGCACTGACGAGAACCCACACTCCTTCCTCCTCCTGCGTCTCCTCCTCCTCCCTGACAGACTGGAATCTGATTGGCTGAAAGCCGTGTGGGACCTCCCTCCTCCTCCCCCTCCTGTTTGACCTTTGACCTCCCTCTGCTGCCTGCGTGGTTCCTCTGCTGGTTCCATTCAGTTCTCTCACACACACGCTGATAACCTGTGTCGCAACAAACACTCATGTATGGAAGCTCATTAGTGCCAAAAACACCTGAAAGTAAATCCAATGTGTCCTTCCTGCAGTGTGTCCAATGACAATAATCAGTTTCCCCTTTAATTAATCAGAAATTGTGACGCTGTGACAAATACACACTTTTTATACTTTCAATAGATTTTACTATTATCCTACTCATTATTACTGTTATTACTCATTAATAATGCAGTAAAATCACACAACATATTGTTTCTGTTATTATTATGGACAATTTCTATCTGTATTTTGCACATCCATTTGCACTCTTTTACTGTTTGCACCGATTATTGTAGCTACTGTTAACTTTATGTATTATATATATATATATATATATATATATATATAGATAGAGAGAGAGAGAGAGAGAGAGAGAGAGAGAGAGAGAGAGAGAGAAATGTTCCCGATATTAAATTTTTTAGTGAATATCGGCCCTCCGATATTATCGGCCGATATTCACAAAAAAATTGAATATCAGGAATTATCGGTATCGGGTTTTTATAACCGATGTTTGTTCTGTAGGCTTCAGCATTTCCGATCCTGCATGAACGCAGCATGGGACGCTTACCAGCGCGCGCTAGATGACGTAACAACAACAACTACAGCTAGACTTGTTGGTTGCTAACAGTGGCTAACAAGCAAACAATTTAAAGCTGAATGATTTTAATATTAACACAAAATAAGTGCAATGCACCTTAAATATTTGACCCTGCTCTGAGCTGTTCCTTAACCAAACTATCAATTGGCTTAGAATTTACATTAGCACTCCTTCAGGTGAATAATACAATTAAACACATTAACCAAAGCTAGTGCTTAGCTAGCGATTAGCGTTAGCGCTCTTTTCAGTATTAATACAATGAAAGTTGAAGTTGTTCTCTTATTTTGCACAGACAGTGTTTACATTTGGAAAGCCATGTTGCATTTATGTATGCATCCAGTGGGGCATCACAATAAAATGAGTCACAATGTGTTAATTCCACAATAGCAGATATGTTATGTTGTTACAGTTTCGGTGTAAAAAGCCTGCAGATATCGGTATCGGGTGATATCGGTATCGGAAATTGAGAGTTGGACAATATCGGCAGAAAAGCCAATATCGAGCATCCCTAGTTATATATAATACTTTATATTTTATCTTCTATTTTATTTTTAATTCTATTCTTAAGGTTAGGGATTTTAATTTTAGTCTAATGTATGTTTAATGTATGTTTTGTATTTTGTATGCTACTGGATACTTGAATTTCCCTCGGGATAAATAAAGTATCTATCTATAATTAATGTTGTCTGAGCAATCTGTAATCAGAAATAAATAGTCAGGGTTACTTTAGAAATCTCATCAACGGGGTTGTCACTTTTTCCAAAAATCACGTTTGAACTAATTTCAAAAGACACAATTTGTTGGAATTACTTTACCACGAAGACTACAGGAGCTTCCCTCCAGTGGGACACTGTTGCTCTCTAATCGGTGATGGCAACAGGACGCTCTGCTCGTCTGTGGTTCAAGCTAACGTTAGCAGTGAGTCACAGATTTGTTGTGGATGTAGAGTTACCCTGAAATTCCACCGGGCTCTTTATAATCCTGTCTCGTCTGCACCGCTGGTTTGCTCCATGATCCACGTGTATTCAAATCCCCCCCCGCAGGGAGCTTGTTCAGACCGCGTTCAGAGCGTGTTCCCTGCCATTCATTGTTTAATTGTGTCTTACGGTGTCTTTCTCTGCTTCAGATCTCCTCTGACTGACTGACTTCCTGTCTGGTGCCACTATGTTGATGTTGTAAAATTGGATCTGCAGTCTGCATGCAGTATTTTATTTTATTTTGTTTCTGACTTCCTGTCAGTGGACAACAGAAAAGTTTATTGATAAAAAAAAACTGATGTGTTTCTGCTAATAATCCCTTATCCATCCAAATGTAACTGTAATCTGATTACTCTCTTCTTCTGTCACTGTAACAGACTACAGTTACCTTTTGTAAGCAAAAGTATCCTGATTATGTAACTCAGTTACATGTAATCCATTACTCCCCAAGCCTGTAAATCAGGGTTCAAACTTGTTTATTCCAGAGTTCCTGGGAAAAATAGATATAAATAATCCACAAACAACAACAATCACACAGCAAACATTAAAAAAGGAGCTTTGTGAATATCTGTTTGAACACAGATCGGCTGTTGTTCTTCACTCACATGTTTATCATCATTAAAGTATTTTGTCATTAATGAGCTTCCGTAGCTTGGGAGCACTTCCCACGGAGACGCCCACAGAGCGAACAAACATTAACTCTGCACCAGCAGTCAGTCTCTCTCCCTCTCTCAGGTAAGTTGTTGCTGTTGTTGTTTCTCATTAAATCTGACTCTTGAATGTGTCCTCATCTGTCTGCAGCTGCACAGAGGAATCATGGGAAACTTTCAGGCTGCTGCTTGTTAACGTGGCGAAGAACCGCAGCTGGAGACAGATGTTGGACTCTCCAATCATTGACACGTTTAATGAACACACTGAGCACGCTCAGACTCACAGAACTTTATTTAAACAGCCTGAGCAGACGAGCAGAGGGAACCAACGGCGCTCACATGGATCAGAAAACTGAATGAAAACCAGTTCATCACTGACTGGATCCAGTTGCTGTTTAAACAGTGAAACTATATTTCTACAACCTCCAACTGACCTTCCATTGATGATATTTATCAGTCATTTTCATTTTTATTGGATGACGTGTGTCATCTTTCTGCTTCCTGGCAGCTTTCTGCACACACTGTCTGTATTAAAGCAGATCCAGACCAGGATCCAGACCAGGATCCTGGTCTGGATCCTGGTCTGGATCCTGAGCATAGAGCTGCAGTCGCTGCCAGCTGATCCTGCATCCTATTATTTTCCAATATGATGCCAGTAAACATGCTGACTACCAGCAGCTCCTCTTTATGTTAATAGGAACTTAATTATTATTGTTAATATGTTTCCTTTGAATATATTGTTGTTGTTGTTGTTGTTGTTGTAGATACATTTCTGGCAGACAGATGGTATGTGGGGGGAACGTCTGACTGTCCACTTACTTTTGGCCGTGTAGATCAGAAACAAAAGAGTCTGAACAGATGACTAAACCATATATAGACCCACTACAGGCTCTCTGACATAAATCAATAATAAAACAGGAAGTGTGATGAGGTGGTGAAGCATTGAGGGATCATGGGAGTTGTTGTCTTCACCACCATTGGCGTCATTGCAGTCAGCTTCTCCCGGTTAGGATTCCTTCAGTGTTCATGGTTCAGGAGGTTTCTACCGGGAGCCCAATGATCCACAGAGGTCTCCTCCTCTCCAACATATGGAAGCCAATTCAAAATCTTTATAGATTATAGATTTAAATCTCTCTCTCTCTGTCTCTCTCTCTCTCTCTCTGTCTCTCTCCCTCTCTCACTCTCTCTCTCTCTGTCTCTGTCTCTGTCTCTCTCTCTCCCTCTCTCACTCTCTCTCTCTCTCTCTGTCTCTCACTCTCTCTCTCTCTCTCTGTCTCTCTCTCTCTCTCTCTCTCTCTCTCTCTCAGTCATGTTGTCCTTGGCCGCCCTCTCGCTCCGTCTCGGGGTCTCCGGTTTCCAAGGAAGCAGTCGCTCCATAGCAACCATCGTCTCCGGCATCAAGACGTCCAAGTGAGTCTGCACACATCCCAGTTTGTCCCAGTTTGTCCCAGTTTGTCCCAGTCAGACCAGTATGAGGAAGGACAGATGGGACCATCAGCTTTCAACCTGTCTGACCTTTGACCTTTGTGTGTGTGTGTGTGTGTGTGTGTGTGTGTGTGTCTGTGAGCAGGTTGGTGAGGGAAAGGCTGAGGATGGAGGTGGAGAAGATGAAGAGTCACTTCTCAGGGTTCAGACCAGGTCTGGTTGTCTTACAGGTCAGAACCTCAACTACAAACACACAACTGTATTATCACATAACGTAGCTGCTGTAAGCTAACTGCTAATGTAGCTGCAGTCAAACTGTCCTCCGTCAGCATCAGACGCTGCATTCAGTCCCGGTCTGGACCTGCTGTTCACTGGGAGCTTCCAGTCCAACAGAGTCCACTAATGGATCCACTACAGCTGCTGGACTGGGGGGGGACGTAGGACACAGCGCTGCTAGCGACAGCGACAGGTCCCTAACTGCCGGTTTCATGCTTTATGTCGATTAAACTCTTCAGCAGATCCAGCTGCTTAAATCCAACACCAGAACATACAGGGTTGTATGAAGATGAATGTTCACTGCTGACTGTGACTCTGTAGAGTCAAACTGGTCTCAGTCAGACCGGTCTCAGTCAGACCGGTCTCAGTCAGACTGGTGTGGACCGGCTGTGTTTACTGCAGCTGCTCTTCCTCTCAGGAACTCTGATAACAGACCTTCAACCCTCCAAACCAAAACCTGAACCAGCAGAGTCAGGGTCAAAGAGAGGACCGATGACGATCATAACAGTAGAGCTGCCAAACACAGAACAGAGACGGACATTCAGGGTTGGAATATCTCCACAAACGTCACTGCTTTTGTCTTCCAGCAGTCTCACAAACAGTTTCTGAACTTTGTCCTGTGAATCCGGTTGAGAACTCGTTCTGTACACACTGCTGTGACCTCTGTTGTGTGCACGGTGTGGTTGGCGCCCTCTGGTGTACCTTTCCGGGTAATACTCGCAGTCTCCTTTGGTTGCAGCTTTCTCCTCCACAGTGTCTAAAGGCTTGTGTGAACATGTTTCAATTGAGGTGTGGGATGTAATGAGCCCACATGTGACACACTGTTGGGTTTATCTCATCTTCAGCGTTAACATGTTCACAGCACTCAGACGTTTTATGTGCAGTCTTTGCTTCATCAATCAACATTTGGTATTCAGTGAAGTTACTTTTCATTTCTGCTTCATAACCATAAACCTTGAACTGTTTGTTTTAAGTGGAATCTCTTATTTTCCAGAGCTGCTGTAGTAAGTTGCTCATTGTCAGTGTGAGTCTCAGACTGTCCCCGTTGTTTTCAACCACACTAAAACAGTTTTCATTCAAATATAAAACCAAAAATAAAGTGTATAACCAATATATTATATATATTCCTTTATGTGAACCTTTAACCGACATTGTCTTTTATTTAAAGTGTTTAATATAAAAATGTCTCCAACACTAACAAAGCAAACACAGAGACGGACGGTCAGCCTGAGGCCGAAGCATCAGAGCCAGTGAAATAAAGTCGCTGTCTGAAGGTGTTTCTGTGTTTCAGGTGGGAGACAGAGACGACTCCAACCTGTACATCAGCTCCAAACTGAAGGCGGCAGCAGAGGTCAGAAAACGTCGCTACATGAACCATCTGATTCATCACTGAGACTAAATATGGATGTTGTCTTTATCACACACCGTAGGATCTGTGACGCCCACTAGCTTGTGCCATTAGCATGTGCAGCTAACATTAGCTGGTTCAGCCACCGGGTGCCGGGAGCCAAACCTCGGTCCTTTATTCCCTGCAGTCAAACTGTCCTCCGTCAGCATCAGACGCTGCATTCAGTCCCGGTCTGGACCTGCTGTTCACTGGGAGCTTCCAGTCCAACAGAGTCCACTAATGGATCCACTACAGCTGCTGGACTGGGGGGGGGTAGCACACAGCGCTATTAGCTACAGCGACAGGCCCCTCCCTGCCTGTGGATATGAGGAAGTAAACACACTGCTTCCTGTTTAAAATGAGCCTCGTTCTCTGTATTCTGCTCACCCAGAACAGCAGTGGCTGAGGCTGCGTCAGTTAATCTGCTGATATAATATTGATATGATATCGATCGATTGGCTTTAATAACACATTCAGTTTCTCGTCTGCAGATTGGAATCGATGCCAAACACGTGCGGCTGCCAAACACAGTGACGCAGGACGAGGTGGGTGACAATCCTCCAGCTGATGGCGTCATCCAGCAGCGATGGCGGCTGCAGCTCTGACTGTTTCCTGTTTCCTGTGGTCCCACAGGTCCTGCAGAGCATCATGTCCGTCAACGAGAACCCGTCGGTCCACGGTCTCATCGTCCAGCTGCCTCTGGACTCCGTCAACCCCATCGACACTGAACTCGTCACCAACGCCGTCTCTCCGCAGAAAGACGTGGACGGGTGAGTCGCCACAGGAAGTGACCTACAGGAAGTCTCTTCTTCTTTTATAAAAACTTGTTTCTTCAGAACTGATCATCTTTATTGTGTGTGTGTGTGTGTGTGTGTGTGTGTGCAGTCTGAGCTGTATTAATGCAGGGAAGTTGTCTCGAGGAGATCTGAATGATTGTTTCATCCCCTGCACCCCCAACGGCTGCATGGAGCTAATCAGACAGACAGGTCTCTCTCTCACACACACACACACACACACACACACACACACACACACACACAAATATTTCACCTGTGACTTCCTGTTCCTGTGTAGGCGTGTCTGTGGGGGGGAAACACGCGGTGGTGATTGGTCGCAGTAAGATTGTTGGAGCACCGATGCACGACCTGCTGCTGTGGAACCACGCTACTGTGACCACCTGTCACTCAAAGACACCTGACCTACCTGAGCAGGTGACGTCACGTCTGTACTGATTATTATTATTACACATTTATTGATAATGTGAAAGTCCTCACAAACTCTGGAGTCTCTGTGTGTCTGATGATGCGTTTCCTGTAGGTGGGCCGGGCTGATATCCTGGTGGTAGGGGCAGGGAGAGCGGAGATGGTGAAAGGACAGTGGGTGAAGGCAGGAGCAGTGGTCATCGACTGTGGAATCAACCACATACCAGGTACACACTGATATATATATATGTAACACATTATAACACATTATAACGCATTATAACACATTAAAAGGCATTATAACGCATTAAAACCCATTATAACATATTATAACACATTATAACGCATTAAAACACATTATAACCCATTATAACACATTATAACTTATTATAACGCATTAAAACACATTATAACACATTATAACACATTAAAACCCATTATAACACATTATAACACATTATAACGCATTAAAACACATTATAACACATTAAAACCCATTATAACAGATTATAACACATTATAACATATTGAAACGCATTATAACAGATTAAAACCCATTATAACAGATTATAACACATTATAACACATTATAACACATTATAACAGATTAAAATGCATTATAACAGATTAAAACCCATTATAACACATTATAACATATTATAACACATTATAACAGATTAAAATGCATTATAACAGATTAAAACCCATTATAACACATTAAAACCCATTATAACAGATTATAACCCATTATAACACATTAAAACCCATTATAACAGATTATAACCCATTATAACACATTATAAAGCATTAAAACCCATTATAACAGATTAAAACCCATTATAACACATTATAACATATTATAACACATTATAACAGATTAAAATGCATTATAACAGATTAAAACCCATTATAACACATTAAAACCCATTATAACAGATTAAAACCCATTATAACACATTAAAACCCATTATAACAGATTATAACCCATTATAACACATTATAAAGCATTAAAACCCATTATAACAGATTAAAACCCATTATAACTGATTAAAACCCATTAGAACACATTATAATACATTAAAACCTATTATAACAGACTATAACCCATTATAACACATTATAACCCATTACAACAGATCAAAACCCATTATAACACATTCAATCTTATCGTTCCTGGTGGAGCCTCCTGCCATGGTCCTGCTAGATTGCCATTACCAATACTGTTGTTGCTGTGCACCTGTCTGTCTCTCTCTCTCTCTCTCTCTCTTTCTCTCTGTCTCTGTCTGTCTGTCTGTCTGTCTGTCTGTCTCTTTCTCTGTGTCTCTCTCTCTCTCTCTCCCTCTCTCTCACCCCAACTGGTTGAGACAGACGACCACCCACCTAGAGCCGGAGGATCTGTCCTAGGTTTCTGCCTTTTAACAGGCAGTGTTTCCTTGCCCTTGTCTCCAAGGTCTTGCTCATGGTGGTACTGTTGGGTCTTTGTAAATAATGTTAAAAGGAGTTCGGTCTAGACCTGCTCTATTTGGAAAGTGTCCTGAGATAACTTCTGTTATGAATTGGCGCTATACAAATAAAATTGAATAACACATTATAACAGATTAAAACCCAGTATAACACATTAAAAGGCATTATAAGCAAACAGTGTGTATAGCAATGTATCACTGTCTGTTAATAATAATAATAATAACTTTGACCTCTGTGTGGTCGTCTCTGACAGATGAGACGAAGGCGAGTGGTAAACGGGTCGTCGGAGACGTCCACTACACGTCAGCCAATCAGAGAGCAGGATTCATCACACCTGTTCCAGGGGGGGTGGGGCCAATGACGGTGGCGATGCTCATGGAGGTCATTCAATCAATTTTATTGTATTTTATTTTACAGTGTGGTTTAAATAATCTCTTTGTTGAATAATGTGAACACACATTTCAAATGAACTCTCTCCACGCCGTTTCCCAGCATCCTTTGTGCTCACAGGGGAACTGCCACCCAGCTACAGCTATTCAACAGCTATACAGCTGATTCTGCTGTTGTGTGTGAAGTTCTTCTGATAATTCCACTGCTTTTATTGATCCTGTCCTGTTGTTGTTGTTTTGTTTAGAACACGGTACAGAGCGCTCAGCGGTTCCTCCTGAAGAACCAGCCCAGGAAGTGAACGTGCAGGAAATACTGGAAGGTAAAACATTCTCTAAATATCTTCAATCACCTGATGTTGTTTTTCTTTAATATTAAATTCTACTGCGCTTTTATTGTGTTCTATTTTTCTTTGTTTATTTTGTCGCCTAAAGCAAAAAGTATCTCAGTAAACACTCAGTTTTACTTTTCTACTGTTATTTGTTCAAGTTTACTTCCTCTTCTCCCCACAGAGATCAATACAGTGTCATTTTATCTTCAGTCTGATCCAAACCCACCAAGAGAACAAACATTCAACGTTCACAGAAAAAGAAACAACAAGAGGATTATAGTCAACATGTTACCTGTCAGTCTGAGCTCAGGGTTAAATCTCTGTCTAATGATGTCTGTCAGTCTGAGCTCAGGGTTAACTCTCTGTCTAATGCTGCCTGTCAGTCTGAGCTCAGGGTTCACTCTCTGTCTAATGCTGCCTGTCAGTCTGAGCTCAGGGTTCACTCTCTGACTAATGCTGCCTGTCAGTCTGAGCTCAGGGTTCACTCTCTGTCTAATGCTGCCTGTCAGTCTGAGCTCAGGGTTCACTCTTTGTCTAATTCTGCCTGTCAGTCTGAGCTCAGGGTTCACTCTCTGTCTAATGCTGCCTGTCAGTCTGAGCTCAGGGTTCACTCTCTGTCTAATGCTGCCTGTCAGTCTGAGCTCAGGGTTCACTCTCTGTCTAATGCTGCCTGTCAGTCTGAGCTCAGGGTTCACTCTCTGTCTAATGCTGCCTGTCAGTCTGAGCTCAGGGTTCACTCTCTGTCTAATGCTGCCTGTCAGTCTGAGCTCAGGGTTCACTCTCTGTCTAATGCTGCCTGTCAGTCTGAGCTCAGGGTTCACTCTCTGTCTAATGCTGCCTGTCAGTCTGAGCTCAGGGTTCACTCTCTGTCTAATGCTGCCTGTCAGTCTGAGCTCAGGGTTCACTCTCTGTCTAATGCTGCCTGTCAGTCTGAGCTCAGGGTTCACTCTCTGTCTAATGCTGCCTGTCAGTCTGAGCTCAGGGTTCATTCTCTGTCTAATGATGCCTGTCAGTCTGAGCTCAGGGTTCATTCTCTGTCTAATGATGCCTGTCAGTCTGAGCTCAGGGTTCACTCTTTGTCTAATGATGCCTGTCAGTCTGAGCTCAGGGTTCATTCTGTTCAATCTTTGACCTTTAAACTGGACTGAAGCTGTTTGTTCAGGGGTCAGAGGTTGTTGCCGTGGAAACAGAGATGTAGTAGCTGTTTCCTGCTGGGGGTTGAAGTCAACATGAAGAAACCAAATATCTGATCAATGTATTGATTATTGACAAAAACCTGTTTAATGAGTTTTAATTTGTTGCACAAATCATTGATACAGTATAAATAATAACAATAATAATGTAAACAATAACAATTATAATGTAAATAATAATAATATAATTTAACTTTAAGATTTCTCTTCGTCTGTCTGTTCTTCTCCAACATGTAAATCAATAAAGTTTCATTACATCTGAACATTTTATTAATTGTGTTTTTATTTAAAAGGTTGAAACATTCGAGAAATAAAAGAGAAAAATAAAAATATTTTTTTGTCCTTTTATTCAACGTTTGAGACTCGAAGCTCATTTATTCACATTTTATCTCCTCTTTTATTTTCTTGTTCTGTGGTCGCCCTGCGGCTCGTCTGTATGAACAGAAGCAAGAGATCAATAAACACATAGATATATTTATTATGTATTTATTGTTTTTATGCATTTGGATTTTACTTTAACGAGTTTAATGTTGATGAATATTCTCTTTATTCTCAGAACATAAAATTATTATATCAAACACATCATATTTGTTTTAAAATGTATGTTTTAAAACATACATTTTAAATGTACAGAAACTGAAGTTATTAAGATAATAACATTTATTATATTTATTAAACTTATTGATTAATACAAATGAACTGAACTCATTTAAGGAGCAGATTTAAGCAGCTACAGTCGCCCTGAGCTGTGACTGTCAGGCAGAAGTTACAAACAGCTGAAACTGATCACCAATCAATCACTCTGAACTTTGACCAATGAGATGACAGCTGGTTTCATGTGTTTGTTTTCTTCTTCTGTGGTGGAGGTTGGTTGTGATTCACCTGCAAGCTGCCACTCGTTAAACTGATGATGTCATAGCGTCGACGTTTGCCGCTCTTCCTCGCTTCAGGCGTGATCTCTGCAGCCCTGCGGCTCCCTGTGAACGCAGGCCGAGTCACTCTGCTGTTCTCTGGTCAGCTGATCCACAGCGGCGTTCATGGCGGCTCGGACCAGAGAGCGAGCCGTCTGAAGCAGCTGCCGCTCGCCGTGCTCAGAGGCGAGGAGGAGGAGGAGGAGGTGGTTGTGGTTCCCCGAGGAGGAGCTGCCCTCCCAACACTCCTCCTCTCCATCCTCCTGAGCGTCGTCGTCCGGGGGAACCAGCTCGATCCGGATGCAGGGTCCGTTAGTGGACAGCTGAAGGGGCGAGGTGGTTTCGTCCGTCCTCTCCTCACAGGGAACCTCGGAGGACTCCTGGGACGCCGTCGAGGTCGAAAGCTGAATGTCAGCGTCCAAAACCTCGTCTTTCTCTGGAGACTCAACCTCTGATATGATGTTTGTGTCCGCGGGGCCTTCGAAGACCTCACTGCCGGTTCCGGTTCTTACAGTGTCCATCAAAACCTCGTCCTCATCAGGACGCTCTGCTGGAGCTCCCTCCTCCGTCATCTGGACTCTCATCTCAGCCGCCACCGCCACGACTTCCAAGCTCTGAGCAGTTGCACCATTGTAGAGTCCGGTAGGTCTGTCTTCCTTCAAGTCCTCGAGCTCCACCCTGTCCTCGAGCTCCACCGTGTCCTCGAGCTCCACCGTGTCCTCGAGCTCCACCGTGTCCTCGAGCTCCACCCTGTCCTCGAGCTCCACCGTGTCCTCGAGCTTTACCGTGTCCTCGAGCTCCACCCCTGTCCTCGAGCTCCACCCTGTCCTCGAGCTCCACCGTGTCCTCGAGCTCCACCGTGTCCTCGAGCTCCACCGTGTCCTCGAGCTCCACCCTGTCCTCGAGCTCCACCGTGTCCTCGAGCCTCTGTCCTCGAGCTCCACCGTGTCCTCGAGCTCCACCGTGTCCTCGAGCTCCACCCTGTCCTCGAGCTCCACCGTGTCCTCGAGCTTTACCGTGTCCTCGAGCTCCACCCTGTCCTCGAGCTCCACCCTGTCCTCGAGCTCCACCGTGTCCTCGACCTCCACCCTGTCCTCGAGCTCCACCCTGTCCTCGAGCTCCACCCTGTCCTTGAGCTCCACCGTGTCCTCGAGCTCCACCGTGTCCTCGAGCTCCACTGTTTCCTCCAGCTGTCCCGACCGGCTTGTTCGTCCTCTGAAAAACGTGCACATTGTTTCTCGGAAGGTCATCGAAGGTTCTCTTTTCTTCTGCTCCCGGGTTTGTCGAATGGACACAGTGAGGAACCTTTTGAACGCCGGCCACGTCCTCACATTAAACGCCCTCTTCCTGTTTTCTTCTGTGGTGTTCAGACAGGCAGCCTCCTGCAGCGCCCCCTCTGGTGGAACACAACTGTCATTCTTCTGCTCCTCTAAACTCTCCTCCGACTTTTGCTTCCTGTTGCAAACGACAGCCGGTGAGAATCTTCTCCACCACCTGGGTCGGTTCACCTTCCTGTTTCTGATGTCATCGCCCCGGCCTGCAGCTCCACGGCGCCCCCTGCAGCTCTCTGCATTCACCTCAGATAAAACGCCTTCGTCCATGTCTGCAGTTTCTGTCAGCTCAACAGTTTTGCTCTTCGATGAGGATTCGTCTCCGCCGGCAGTCTTGTTTTTGTCTGTCCGAGCTTCAGGTCTGTCCTCCCCCACGCTCCTGGTCCTGGTTTTCCCCAGCAGCAGCCTCGGAGGACCCGTCAGCTTCCTCTTTAAAGTGGCTTTCTCTGCTCGCTGAACGTCCTCTCCGTCCGCTGTCGCCATGGTTTCGTCTCCACGGTGAAGCTAAATGGTTTTTATACTTCCTGGAGGCGTTTGAGCTCTTCTGTCCACAATGAGCCGCTGATGAAGCGTCTGCTGCGCTCTCACTGTGATTAAACACCTGGGAACCTGCAGAGCACAGAACCACAGACACACGGCTCATATTATATAATATTTATAACTGCCAACACAAGAAATAAGAGACAACAAACAACAACAAAGACACACAAAACAACCACAGAGAGACACTAAACAGTAAAGTTATGATCAACATATCTGATCATTTCCAGACAAACATTAAATATTCTTTTTTATGTTTCAGGACAGTTTTTTTTTAATTTAGTCCAAATTATCCTCGTGGGGCTTTATAATCTGTCCCCAGGACATCAGTGTGAGGAAAAACTTCATTATACAACAAAACAATCACAATAAAAGTGTTGATCAGTTTGATCCCTGTGAGTTTGGGACCGCGACGTCACTCCTGCGCAGACTCTGTTTAAGATGGTGGCGACCGTAACCGAGATATCTGGCTTTATTTCAGTACAGTGGGAGGAAGTGGAGACACGTCATCCATCTTTGTATACAGTCAGAAATAATGTAGGCTGTGAAATATAAATGAGTACGGAGACAGTGTGAAGAGGTTCGGCAGTGAAGAGAAGTAAAGCAACATATTTCAGACACAAAAAAGCAAAAAGAAAAGTTGTTTAAATGATTGATTCAGGTAAAAAGTGTAAAATGATTAAAAACAGCAAGAGGATATTAAGTCCAGCTGTGAAACAATAATAACTCTATAAACATATTTATATTTATTTCCAGCTGCTGTGGGGATCAAACTGCTGAACAGAGCTCAGATACAGAAAGTTAACTAAGATCATTTCACACCTACACAGACGGATTAAAGACCTGGTTCCGGTTTATCCTGACTCCTCTGGGAACTGTCTGACCCACCAAAACTGTCTCACAGCATCTGTCAGAACCACCATCATCATCATCATCATCAGAGGAAGATATCAGCTCATATTCAGAGAGACCACATCAGACCACATCAGACCAGCATTAAGTTTCAGACCTCACCTGAACGTGGACCTCCTTCCTGTCTGAGGACCAGATCTGTTTCTGTGAGAGACGAAACAACCAGCTCATCTTGCTCTCTCATCCACCCCAGTTTCCATAGCAACCACACTGATTGGCGGTTTGTTTTATAGAAATTGCTTCTCCGATAAGGAGGGGGGAGGGGTCGATGTCCCCGGGGGGGGACCAGGAGGAGGACCAGGAGGAAGGGCAGGAGGAGGACCAGGAGGACCAGGAGGAGGGCTAGGAGGAGGACCAGGAGGACCAGGAGGAGGACCAGAAGGACCAGGAGGAAGACCAGGAGGAGGACCAGGAGGACCAGGATGGGGACCAGGATGGGGACCAGGAGGACCAGGAGGAGAACCAGGAGGAGGGCCAGGAGGAGGACCAGGATGGGGACCAGGATGGGGACCAGGAGGAGGACCAGGAGGAAGGGCAGGAGGAGGACCAGGAGGACCAGGAGGAGGGCCAGGAGGAGGACCAGGAGGAGGACCAGGAGGAGGACCAGAAGGACCAGGAGGAGGACCAGGAGGAGGACCAGGAGGACCAGGATGGGGACCAGGATGGGGACCAGGAAGAGGACCAGGAGGAGGACCAGGAGGAGGGCCAGGAGGACCAGGAGGAGGACCAGGAGGAAGACCAGGAGGAGGGCCAGGAGGAGGACCAGGAGGAAGACCAGGAGGAGGGCCAGGAGGAGGACCAGGAGGACCAGGAGGAGGACCAGGAGGAGAACCTGGAGGAGGACCAGGAGGACAGAAACAGTGATAATAACAACAGTGGACAAGTTTCACATCAGAAGTGAGTGTTAATATTTCAGGTTGGAAATTCAATCAAATGATAAAGAAACAAAACAACAACAACAAAGAAACAAAACAACAACAACAATAAACAAAACAACAACAACAAGTTTGGCTCTTTCAGTCTGATCGTCTGTAAATTTAAAACGTTTTGTAGATGAGAATTTACTTACGTACTTTTGTTGTAGAGTAATGGGATTACTTTTTCAATGAGTAATGTGTGAAAAAGGTAAACTTTCTGTTACTTCGATTGATCAATATATTGGGTATTGATTAATAAATAGTTGACGTTATTGTGGATTCAGGTTCAGGGGCGTCAGCTCCACCTTCTGCTGGACGGAGGAACGAACCGCTGGCTGTGATGTATTGATCAGTAATCGGTTATTGATCTGCTGCAGCACGCTCTGTGCTCTCTGGTGTCGTCGTCTATTTTTAAAGGTGTGAAGAAGAAGCTCAGCAGCTTTTGTTTCTATAGCGATGGAGGTAAAAATACATCCGTCTGTCCCTAAGCAACAGCAGAGCGACCAATCACGACCTCCAACAGGTGAGAGCAGCAAAACGTCACCTTTCTACAACACGCTGGTCTCCAGTCTGCAGGAACATTTATTTATTTATTTATTTATTTATTATTATTCATTATTCTACAGCTTGAAATATACATATCAAATGTTTATTATATTTGGGGGATTTTTACCCTTTAAAAGCCAATATGTTTACACAACTCCGCTGTTGTGGAAAGTCTCAGAGTTTGTTTGAGACCACATTATTTTTCTGTTTTTTTAAGTCCATTTTGCTGCTGCTTCATCAATTTCATCTTCAGATGAGTCAGGGCTAGACACCAGACATCTCTACCTCTGAGGCCTCCTCCGTGGAGGAATTAGAGTCCTCGGATAGGATATATAGGATACTATATACTATATAGTATCTATATATATACTATATAGTATAACCAGCTGCATCAACAGCCGGAACAGGAACCAAATTTTTTTTTTTTTTTTTTTTAAAAAAAAACACAGACACACACACACACACACACACACACACACACACACACACCACACACACACACACACACACACACACACACACACACACACACACACACACACACTCACACACACACACACACACACACACACACACACACACACACACACACACACACACACACACACACACACACACTCACACACACACACACACACACACACACACACACACACACACACACACACACACACACACACACAATACACACACACACACACACACACACACACACACACACACACACACACACACACACACACACACACACACACACACACACACACTCACACACACACACACACACACACACACACACACACACACACACACACACACACACACACACACACACACACACACTCACACACACACACACACACACACACACAAATACACTGTAACAAATATATTTTATTTTTCCCACATAAACAATGTACACAGTGAACATCCCAACCATCACAACGTTCCACATACAAAACAACAGAAGAATTTACTGGATACAGTTACAGTAAAATAAACTATGCTGCATCCTCTCTTCTGTTTGGGTCTGGCCACAGCACCTCATCCACATCACAAGCAATGTTTTCCCTGGCCAAGCAGCGGGGGAAATATCGCCTAGCATGGCGAATCCAGCCATGAAAAGCATCAACTGCTATATCTAACCCTAACCTGTTGCTCTTTATGCTAAAGCTCTGATTGCTAATTGTAAAACTGTGTGACAGGTGTTTGCCCGTGTGATGAGCCAGTAGTTGTAGTGTTTTGAAAAAAGTGTGTTTAAGAACTGCAATTTGAGTGTAAATCAGGAATTGTGCTTGTAGTTTAGCAGAATTGGTTCAGGGGCTTGGTGCATGAGTTACATGTTGTGGTCATTGTGTCTCAAGTACCAGTAATTGTGTGTGAACAATTGAGAAAAACTGTAATGTTTCCACTTTATTCTCATCATATTTATACATTTCCTTCTAATTGTACAGAATCTACCAGTGAAGAAAGCAACGTGTCCATCGAGGGGGTTGATGTGGAGGTGGTCAATACCTATAAATATTTGGGGCTTCAGCTGGATGACAAGCTGGACTGGACAGCAAATATGGATGCTTTACACAGGAAAGGGCAGAGCCGTCTGTACTTCCTGAGAAGGCTGGGGTCCTTCAACATCTGCAAAAAACTGCTGCAGATGTTTTACCAGTCTGTGGTGGCCAGCGTGCTCTTTTCTGCTGTGGTTTGCTGGGGAGGAAGCAGCAAGAGGAGCGACACCGGTCGACTGGACAGACTGGTGAGGAGAGCTGGCTCAGTAGCTGGCACAGAGCTGGACTCTCTGGTGACAGTGGCAGAGAGAGGGACCCTGGACAAACTGCTGTCCATACTGGACAACACCCACCACCCTCTGCACAACACCTTCACCAGGCAGAGGAGTGTGTTCAGTGGCAGACTGCTGTCCCAGTCCAGCTCCACCAACAGACTCAAAAACTCTTTCGTCCCCCATCAGACTGTACAACAGCTCTCAGTAAAGGCAGGGAGGACAACAGACAACAGGACAATCTCCTCCTCCATTTGCACTGCCTCTGCTAAATGCTGTGACTTTCATTCATTGGTCAACAGCCTAATTTTAAATTTATAAAAGCTATTTTATTTCTACTGTTACTTTTTGTATAGTTTTCTATTTTAATGTATGTTTAATGTATGTTTGTATGCTTCTACTGGATGCTTGAATTTCCCTCAGGATAAATAAAGTATCTATCTATCTATCTATCTATCTATCTATCTATCATATTTATCTTCTGAAGGACTCAGTTTCCCAGAATGCCTCTGGTCAGCTCGGTGCCCTGCTCTCTGCTGACGTCTGCTGGATGCGACCGGTAACTGCAGAGAGTCTGAACAGGAAACAGTTTGAACTAATGAATCAGTTGTTTTTATTTGTTTCAGAAATGTTTTAAATAAAGTTTTGGGCTTTGAAACCATCTGACACTGAAAGTTTATTAATTAGATAAATTATTTTTCGTTGCTGTGCTCTGATTGGTGAAAAAAAGAAATTTATTTACAAAACTTTATTGTTCCATCAATGAAAAACAGACGTTTATGTACAAAACATGTAAACACAAAACTTCCTGTTTGGATTTTTTTTACAGTGAAACACAGAATGAAAACATTCACCAGTCAATAATCAATAGAGAGAATAGAGAGGACCATAAGACTGCTTTTAATCCAACCCTTTCAAAATAAAGTCACATCCTGTGATCAGCAGTTCATTTTAATATTTATGATGTCAGATTGTTTATAAAGTCAGAAATATCAAAAATAAAAACTGTAAATATTTAACGTGTGACCAGACCAGCAGGTTGCAGACCCGCGTTATTTAGGATGGTTATTATTTATTTATGTATTGTAAACATTTTAATGAGGGCTTGTTTCTGTGCTTGTTTATTATCACATTCCTGTGAGCTGGAATTAAACTCCAATAACAGGAACTGATGAGTCCAATCGGCCCGATGGTGGCGCTGTTAAACCCAAAAATACAGTATTGTAAAGGCAACGCCCCCTCACACAGCGCCCGGCTCAATGTGCTTGGACTGCTGCCAAACCTTCTGTGGATCATCATCGGATGGAGCTGATCAATAGTTGCATAAAGCTTATTGATCTCTAATTTAGAGTTCAACATATTGACCAATGAGCTTCAGAGGGGGCGTGGCTCAGCACATAAACAGACAGAAGTCAACAACTGTTGGGCCAATCATCACAAAACTCACAGGATATGTCCATATAAGGACCCTGAAGCCTTTGCGCCACAAAGGCAAAAAAGGGCGTGGCATAACTCAGTCGGTGAAAATGACGTAAACTGCAGAATGATCAAAAACAGAGTTATGATCCTTTAATTACATTTTTATTATCAGCTCAGAGAAAAACAACAAAGTGTCTGGAAGTCTAACTAAGCTTCAGTTGTGTAACAACATCTGAAGGTTCTTCTGGGTTCTAAAAAAGGAACAAACCTTTTACTCAGATTGTCATGAAGCCTTGATTTCAGGGTGGAGACGACACGAAGGCACTGCTGCTGCTTCTAAAGACACGACCACGGTTCACTGTCCGCTGGTGAGCGTGGAAGATCAGGATTCAACATCGCAGTTAGAAACAAACACAGACCGATGAAATGAAAACGATCAGCAGGACAGAACTCAAGCTAACGATTATTCTCATTACGGATCAGTACGCTGATTAGTTTCTGATTAATTGATTAATCGTGTTCAAACTTTTTTCGATTGCAGAAGAAAACAAATATTCTGTCCACGAATTGATCAATGAATCAGGTCCAGGACCATCAGACAGCAGCAGAGACCTCAGAGTCCCGTCCTGGTTCCACACAGAACCACCTGTGCATTCAGTCCGGCCCCCTTGTGGCCAAACACCTGATGACATCACTCCACGGGCACGCCGTCCACACTCTCCTGGGAGATCTCAGAGTCCAGGGAGTAGCAGGAGCTGCCGTTGTCCTGAGTGTCCCTGTTGGCCTCCTCAGAGAGCGCGGCAGTGCCGGCCGAGGCCCCGCCCCCTCCCCCATGCTCCGCGGCGCCCTCGCAGAAGTGGGCGGAGGCCTGGAAGAGCTGGCTGCAGAGGCGGTTGTAGCGGTGGTAGCGGGACGGTTTGCCGGTGTGGGTGTACATGTGCTCCTGCAGCTGGCTCTTGTGGGAGAAGCGCAGGCTGCAGACGGCACAGGCGATCTTACGTTTACGTGAGTGCAAGATGGCGGCAGGGGTGGGGCTGCTCCTGCCTCCGCCACCCCCTCCTCCTCCCCCTCGGCTCCTCCTCAGCTCTGCAGCCAGCTGGTTGGCGAGCGCCTGGCTCTGCCTCAGCGCCTCCTCCAGGCAGCCCGCGTCCAGCTGCTCCTGGCCCCCCGGCGGCCCCTCCTCCACGCCGGCGTCCAGCTCGCCGCCATGCGACAGTCCCTCCATCAGACGGGTGGGGTCGAGGGCGTGGCTGAACAGGTGCTCACGCAGACCCTCGGGGGAGGAGCAGCGCTCTCCACAACGAGGACACAGTAGGACCAGGGGCCGGTCTTTGAACAGGAGGCTCTGACTGGGACTGCTACCCTGAGCTGGAGACGGAGACCCCGCCCCCTGCCCTTCCTCGCCGTCCTCCTCCTCCTCCAACCGCTCCTGCTTGATGCGGGTTGAGATGTCGGAGTCGTCTCCGGACGCCACAGAGCAGACGTTGCGTAGCGCCGAGGCCTGGCGGTCTGACGGGACCCCCTCCAGTCCAACAGCGAGCGACAGCTGGGAGTGGGACCTCCCCCCCCGGCCGGAAGAGCGTCCGTCGTCGGGGGCGCCGCACGACACCGTGGTGGACTTGGGGACTCCGGACGCCTCTTTGTTGGCCAGCTGGGAGGAGATCTGGATGCCGTAGAGGTTGGACATGCGGACCACGTCGGTGGCGGCGTCGGCGGCGCCCTCGCCGGGTTTGCGGCACAGCTGGTAGGCGTGGAGGAACTTAATGCCTTCCTGCAGACGGCTCTGATCCACCGGCTGTTTAGGACACATCCCCGTGTACATGATGTGGAGCAGGTAGCTGAACACGTCCGGCTGGATGTCTGTGGGCTGGATCTTTATACACTCACTGAGAGACAGACAGACAGACAGACAGAGAGAGAGACAGACAGAGAGACAGACAGACAGAGAGACAGACAGACAGTCAGTCAGACAGACAGACAGCGTCAACCATCAGGCTGAGAATCAATGTTTCATCTGCAAAGAACTGAACCAGGCTCGACTTTTGCTGAAACACCAGAACCACCAGAACCACCGTGTGCAGCAGGTTTTGATCGTCTGTCTGATGAGGAACTACTGTTAGCTGTGAGCTACCGGCTCACTGACCTGGACTGGTGGATGAAGATCATCTTGAAGTAGTTGGAGAAGGCGGCGAGGACGGCTCGGTGAGCTTTAAAGTACACGTTACCGATGGCGACGGTGCAGTCACACAGGAAGCCGAACTCTCTCTGAACGTTGAGCTGCTGCAGCAGGAAGAGGCTGTGAGAGGACACCTCCATGACCCCGCCTGAGAGAGACAGACACAGAGAGAGAGAGACAGACACATAGAGAGACAGACACATAGAGAGAGAGACACAAAGAGAGAGAGACACATAGAGAGAGACAGATAGAGACAGACACATAGAGAGAGAGAGAGACACATAGAGATAGACACATAGAGAGAGACACAGAGAGACAGACACATAGAGAGAGAGAGAGACAGACACAAAGAGAGACACAGAGAGAGGGACTGTGAGTGATCGAAGCACAGGCACACCAGTGTATATTATATATAATAATATATGTATATAATATAATGTTCAAGATTCAAGATTCAAGAACTTTATTTGCCATTTGTGCTTGCACACACATAGGAACTCTTGTGCGGTTGTTGTTCAGAGAGTCAAGTTTAAAAAGACACACAAGGAAGACATAAATCTATCTATGAAACATATACATTATAAATTGCACAAAACCATTCATAATGTATATATCTTTCATATTGTGTATTGTCTGAATATTTGGACTTGTATTTTATTTTGATACTCTGCTTTGGCAATATTGTTTTTTAAAAAAAAACTTTCATGCCAATAAAGTCCATTTTGAACTGAATTGAGAGACACATAGAGATAGACAGATAGACAGACACATAGAGAGAGAACAGATAGACAGACACATAGAGAGAGACAGATAGACAGACACATAGAGAGAGAGACAGATAGACAGACACATAGAGAGAGAGACACATAGAGAGAGACAGATAGCGACAGACATATAGAGAGAGAGACACATAGAGAGAGACAGATAGAGACAGACACATAGAGACAATTTGTTTGCCTAGAATAAAACAATTTATGATTCAGATAGAATTGTATAAACCCGTCCCTGGAGCTTCACAAGGTCCGTCTGTGTCGGTCTGGGTCGGTCTGTGTCTGTGTCTGTGTCTGGGTCGCTCTGTGTCTGTGTCGGTCTGGGTCTGGGTCGGTCTGGGTCTGTGTCAGTCTGTGTCTGTGTCGGTCTAGGTCTGGGTCGCTCTGGGTCTGTGTCGGTCTGTGTCTGTGTCGGTCTGGGTCGGTCTGTGTCAGTCTGTGTCTGTGTCGGTCTGTGTCGGTCTGGGTCTGTGTCGGTCTGTGTCGGTCTGTGTCGGTCTGGGTCGGTCTGTGTCTGGGTCGATCTGTGTCTGTGTCGGTCTGGGTCTGTGTCGGTCTGTGTCAGTCTGTGTCAGTCTGTGTCTGTGTCGGTCTGGGTCTGGGTCTGTGTCGGTCTGGGTCTGTGTCGGTGTGGGTCTGTGTCGGTCTGTGTCAGTCTGGGTCTGTCTCGGTCTGGGTCGGTCTGGGTCTGTGTCGGTCTGGGTCGGTCTGTGTCGGTCTGTGTTGGTCTGGGTCTGTGTCGGTCTGGATCTGTGTCGGTCTGGGTCGGTCTGTGTCGGTCTGGGTCTGGGTCGGTCTGTGTCGGTCTGGGTCTGAGTCTCTGTCGGTCTGTGTCTGTGTCTGGGTCTCTGTCGGTCTGTGTCTGTGTCCGGGTCTCTGTCGGTCTGTGTCTGTGTCTGGGTCTCTGTCGGTCTGTGTCTGTGTCCGGGTCTCTGTCGGTCTGTGTCGGTCTGTGTCGGTCTGGGTCTCTGTCAGTCTGTGTCGGTCTGGGTCGGTCTGGGTCTCTGTCGGTCTCTGTCGGTCTGTGTCGGTCTGGGTCGGTCTGGGTCGGTCTGGGTCTCTGTCGGTCTGTGTCGGTCTCTGTCGGTCTGGGTCGGTCTGTGTCTGGGTCTGGGTCTCTGTCGGTCTCTGTCGGACTGGGTCGGTCTGGGTCGGTCTGGGTCTCTGTCGGTCTGTGTCTGTGTCTGGGTCTCTGTCGGTCTGTGTCTGTGTCCGGGTCTCTGTCGGCCTGTGTCGGTCTGGGTCTCTGTCAGTCTGTGTCGGTCTGGGTCGGTCTGGGTCTCTGTCGGTCTGTGTCGGTCTGGGTCGGTCTGGGTCGGTCTGGGTCTCTGTCGGTCTGTGTCTGGGTCTCTGTCGGTCTCTGTCGGTCTGGGTCGGTCTGTGTCTGGGTCTGGGTCTCTGTCGGTCTCTGTCGGTCTGGGTCGGTCTGGGTCGGTCTGGGTCTCTGTCGGTCTGTGTCGGTCTGGGTCGGTCTGGGTCTCTGTCGGTCTCTGTCGGTCTGTGTCTGGGTCTGGGTCTCTGTCGGTCTGTGTCTGTGTCTGGGTCTCTGTCGGTCTGTGTCTGTGTCCGGGTCTCTGTCGGTCTGTGTCGGTCTGGGTCTCTGTCAGTCTGTGTCGGTCTGGGTCGGTCTGGGTCTCTGTCGGTCTGTGTCTGGGTCTCTGTCGGTCTCTGTCGGTCTGGGTCGGTCTGTGTCTGGGTCTGGGTCTCTGTCGGTCTCTGTCGGTCTGGGTCGGTCTGGGTCTCTGTCGGTCTGTGTCGGTCTGGGTCTCTGTCGGTCTCTGTCGGTCTGTGTCTGGGTCTGGGTCTCTGTCGGTCTCTGTCGGTCTGTGTCTGGGTCTGGGTCTCTGTCGGTCTCTGTCGGTCTCTGTCGGTCTGTGTCTGGGTCTGGGTCTCTGTCGGTCTCTGTCGGTCTGGGTCGGTCTGTGTCTGGGTCTGGGTCTCTGTCGGTCTCTGTCGGTCTGGGTCGGTCTGGGTCGGTCTGGGTCTCTGTCGGTCTGTGTCTGTGTCTGGGTCTCTGTCGGTCTGTGTCTGTGTCCGGGTCTCTGTCGGCCTGTGTCGGTCTGGGTCTGTGTCAGTCTGTGTCGGTCTGGGTCGGTCTGGGTCTCTGTCGGTCTCTGTCGGTCTGTGTCGGTCTGGTCTGGGTCTCTGTCGGTCTGTGTCTGGGTCCTTGTCGGTCTCTGTCGGTCTGGGTCTGTCTGTGTCTGGGTCTGGGTCTCTGTCGGTCTCTGTCGGTCTGGGTCGGTCTGGGTCGGTCTGGGTCTCTGTCGGTCTGTGTCGGTCTGGGTCGGTCTGGGTCTCTGTCGGTCTCTGTCGGTCTGTGTCTGGGTCTGGGTCTCTGTCGGTCTGTGTCTGTGTCTGGGTCTCTGTCGGTCTGTGTCTGGGTCTCTGTCGGTCTGTGTCGGTCTGGGTCTCTGTCAGTCTGTGTCAGTCTGGGTCGGTCTGGGTCTCTGTCGGTCTGTGTCTGGGTCTCTGTCGGTCTCTGTCGGTCTGGGTCGGTCTGTGTCTGGGTCTGGGTCTCTGTCGGTCTCTGTCGGTCTGGGTCGGTCTGGGTCTCTGTCGGTCTGTGTCGGTCTGGGTCGGTCTGGGTCTCTGTCGGTCTCTGTCGGTCTGTGTCTGGGTCTGGGTCTCTGTCGGTCTCTGTCGGTCTGTGTCTGGGTCTGGGTCTCTGTCGGTCTCTGTCGGTCTCTGTCGGTCTGTGTCTGGGTCTGGGTCTCTGTCGGTCTCTGTCGGTCTGGGTCGGTCTGTGTCTGGGTCTGGGTCTCTGTCGGTCTCTGTCGGTCTGGGTCTCTGTCGGTCTGGGTCGGTCTGGGTCACAGTGGATCTGGACTGGGGATACGGAACCAGCAGGTAGAATATCTCAGGACGGGAGGAAGCTGACCGAGGCTCGCTCAACTGTGATTGGAGCACAGAGCAAAAGGGGGCGGGGCTTAAGAAGGCAGCCGGATGGCACTGAACCCGAGTGGTCCTTTCCAAACACGTCTCCATGGTTACTGAACTCAACCTCTGATTGGATGTCTGCTGGTGAAATGCACCATGGGAGTCTTTATTGTTATATTATTATTATCTTTGTTGTGATTGGATCAGTAATCAATAACACATAATCAATGATTGGATTGGAGCTTTATTGACAACATCATCAGCAGGTGGTCTACCACCTCTCACCAGCTGACCTGTGACCTCACTGAAGGTCACACACACACACACACACAGACCGGAAACCGGACACCCGCGCGACCAAACAACAGCTCCTGCTCCGCGCGTGCATGTCGCGTCGCGCCCGCGCGCCTGCAGCCTCCTCCATCCTCTCTGTGTCATTCACATCCCGCAGCACGCACGTTGCTCACTCACCCACACGCACACGGGCGCGTGCCGCACGCCCATCCGACCCCACACGCACCCTGTGGCTGTCCGCCGCGTGCACGCGCTCCCGTTAATCGGTGTCTTACCGCAGAAACCCGCAGATTGTTTCAGGATCCGGAGCCGATTTGTTGCTGCAGAGGATCTCGCAAGAAGACGCGTCACGTCTCGCGAGATGAAGGGTCAAAGGGGCTGGTCACGTGATCCGCCTGTGTCACCTACCGATGTGTGATCAGTGATCAATACCGGACTGATCGATCCGTTCTGATCGATTTCAACACAATAAATACAGAAATAATACAAATACAAATTGAAGCTTTATTGTTATTAAATAATGTGATTATTATTATTATTGTTATTGTATTATTATTATTGTTTTTATTAATAAATAATGTTACTATTATTGTTTATTATTATTATTCTATTATTGTTGTTGTTTTTATTGTTTTTATTGTTATTATTATTATTGTTTATGATGTTTTAAGATTGTTTGGTTATTATAATGAGAATATTATTTATTATATAAGTTTTAATACAAATTATTTGTAGTAAAAAGTCATCGATCAGTTTGATGATGATCAGCAGGTTCTGTTATCAGTTATTGATCAGTTATTGATCGTTATTACAGTTTATCTCTATAATAATAAACAGAACATAGAAGACTTTAATGATATATATTACAAACAGCAGTGTAATAAAAACACTAATAATGCTGAATATGGATATTAAAGTATAAAATGTACAAGAGCAAAAGAAACGACGCTTTTATTTTTATTTTGAAGGCCAGCATTTTGACCGGAAGTGTTTTATTTTGTATTCTGTGTGTTTCCTCAGTGCATCCGGCTTCACGCAGCGGCAGTGTGTGCGGAAGTTCTTTCATCCTGCAGGAGAAGAAGAAGAGTCTTCTCCTTCGTCTCAACTGTCCGTCCGAACCCGTCCGACCTCCGGATAGAACCGCTCCAGAACCGCTCCAGAACCCGGGAACACCGCACACCCGCCGCCGACAGCAGCAGCTCCTCCGCCGGCCTCCGGTATCCACGGTGAGTCGACAGCTTTGTGTCCGGCCCTCGGAGCCTCCTGGACGGGAAAACTACCGAGAAGTCCCCGCGGCCTGCTGCTCTCGGTGCTAGCTGAGTGCGGGTGGCAGTGCGGGGGTGGCGGGACTGTTTGCGGGAGAGCTATCAGTACATCGTCACTTCCGCAGCATTTACAACTGCTACATCCGCTTTGGCGTTTCAAAATAAAGGTCGTTAAGACTAAATGAACAGCTTAAGGCGTCTTTACATGAACGCCCAGAGCTTAGTTCTTATCAACACGTTAATACATCTGTTGTTATTTAGTCTGTGTCCGTTTAAGAAGTCAATACAACAACAACATCAACCGATTACTACTTCTCACGTTGTATCCGTTTTATTTTGAAGCTGTACTCTCGGTAACTTCCGGTGTAACCGACGCTAGCCGCTGTTAGCTTGACGCAGCTAACCACCAGAACTGTAATCTCCATTTTAGCTCTTCGGAGCGGCCGACCTCTCCCTTCTGCCCGCTCCTCACGGCTCATTGTCGGCTCAGTAAAGGCGGGTTACTCGCTGACTGACAGCCGGTCAATGCGTGAATGTCCCCCCGCACTGCCCCCGCGGGAGTGCGGGGGGACCAGTGCGGGGGCGGGCGGGGACTGAGAGCGGCTCAGTTACTGTAAACCAACAACAGAGTCTGGTTCCAGTTCAGCCTGCAGCAGTGAGACAGGATACAGCAGTGAGACAGGATACAGCCTGTCTGCTGTCCCCGATCGGGACCCTGTGTTTGCTTTGTCCCTTCAGGGTTACCGTAGAAACATGGCGGACTCCGCCAGCAGTGGACCCGCTGTAGATAAAAACATCTCATTAACACAATGATCCTTATATTCAGCAATCTTTACATTATATTATATTATATTATATAAAATTATATTATATTATATTATATTATATTATATTATATTACATTATATTACATTATATTATATTGTATTAAATTATATAAAATTATATTATATTACATTATATTACATTATATTATATTATATTATATTGTATTAAATTATATAAAATTATATTATATTATATTACATTATATTACATTATATTATATTGTATTAAATTATATAAAATTATATTATATTATATTAAATTATATTATATTATATAAAATTATATTATATTATATTACATTATATTATACTATATTATATTACATTATATTATATTATATTACATTATATTATATAATATTATATAAAATTATATCATTATATTATATTATATTACATTACATTATATTACATTATATTATATTATATTACATTATATTATATTATATAATATTATATAAAATTATATTATATGACATATTACATTATATTATATTATATTACATTATATTATATTATATAAAATTATATTATATGACATTATATTACATTATATTATATTATATTATATTACATTATATTATATTATATAAAATTATATTATATGACATTATATAAAATTATATTATATTATATTACATTATATTATATTATATTACATTATATTATATTATATTACATTATATTATATGACATTATATTACATTATATTATATTATATTACATTATATTATATGATATAAAATTATATTATATGACATTATATTACATTATATTATATTACATTATATTATATTACATTATATTATATTATATCATTATATTACATTATATTATATTGTATTAAATTATATAAAATTATATTATATTACATTATATTATATTATATCATATTACATTATATCATATTAAATTATATTATATTATATCTATCATTAATAGACGGACTCAGATTTTATAGATATTTCAAACAGTGAACTCTTTGTGTGAGACGAGTTTATCTGGATGATATTGAATTCACTTTGTATAAATGATATTTGATGGTTCAGATAACTAACAATAGGATTGTTTTCTTACAGGATATATATAGACTTAGACTTAGACTTCTCTTTATTGATCCTTCCGCAAGGAAATTGAATTTCCAGCAGCTTACAAAACAGTGAAAAATTATATAAATAAATAGATAAAATTCACGGAAAATAAAATGAAATAAGATAAATGTAGAGAACTGTATAGAGGATGAATATAGATAAATAAAGATCAATATATAGGACTGTATATGGCATTGTATTATTATACAGTGGATAAATGACATTAGCATAAATTAGCAGTTAAATTAAATTATTGCACTTAAGTGGTGGATCAAGTTATTGCAAGAAAAAAAGAAGGAAGAGTGTCCAGGTATGTATGAGTAGATCATTATTGCACAGTGAGTGGCTACCACTCCTTCCCTTCTGTCCTCTTTACCCTATTTCCTCCTCCCCCTGAGTGAGGAGTTGTAGAGTGTGATGGCATGAGGGACAAAGGAGTTCTTGAGTCTGTTGGTCCTACACTTGGGGAGGATTTATAAATATATCTCTATAAATTATAAATATAGAAAGGAGATTGTAATAAAGTGTTAGACGTTGGCTGTCTGTCTGCCTGAGAACCGACTGCAGTTCATTGGAGGTGAACAGTAAAGTGAGTTGAGGTTTCAGGTCTCGGTGTGACTAACAGTGGATGCAGTCGGTGTCGTTATCAGTAACATGTGGTTTCCATCGTCTGCAGGATGTCACACACTCATTCTGAGAGGACTTTAAAAACTAATCTGTGTCATCTTGAGGTTTGTGTTGTAATATGATTATTAAATAGTGTCAGACGTTATTATTGGAGCCACTTCTGTGTGTAATATATAATAATATATATATTCAGAGAGTTAAACCATAAAACAAACTGATTCAGATCAGCTTGTAAAACCCAGATGAGGAGAGATAATGGGAACTTTACATTGTTATAAATGATCAGGATCAATACATAAATCATCAGTTGACGTGAATAATAAACGATGGATCTGATTTATTAATCTATGAAAGTCAAATTCTGTGTTTTAATGAAGTTAAACAGAATAAATGAACCATTTGTTGTTTGTTAATTATCCTCCTTTATAAAATACAATATTATCTGTTACCTTACTGGTATCAGTGTGAGAAGCAGCTAAATATCTAATGTAATATATAGTATAATATCTAATATAATATATAGTATAATATAATATCTAATATAATATATAGTATAATATAATATCTAATATAATACATAGTTTAATATAATATCTAATATAATATATAGTATAATATAATATCTAATATAATATATAGTATAATATAATATCTAATATAATACATAGTATAATATAATATCTAATATAATATATAGTATAATATAATATCTAATATAATACATAGTTTAATATAATATCTAATATAATATATAGTATAATATAATATCTAATATAATACATAGTTTAATATAATATCTAATATAATATATAGTATAATATAATATCTAATATAATACATAGTTTAATATAATATCTAATATAATATATAGTATAATATAATATCTAATATAATACATAGTTTAATATAATATCTAATATAATATATAGTATAATATAATATCTAATATAATACATAGTTTAATATAATATCTAATATAATACATAGTTTAATATAATATCTAATATAATATATAGTATAATATAATATCTAATATAATATATAGTATAATATAATATCTAATATAATACATAGTTTAATATAATATCTAATATAATATATAGTATAATATAATATCTAATATAATACATAGTTTAATATAATATATAGTAGAGTATATAGAGAGTTGAGTGTCTGAGATGTTTTCTTTATTTCGGATGAAACAGGATCTAAATGTCTTCATTATTCTCGTCTGACGTTGATGAGTCATAGAAGAACTGAGAGGTGGTTCTGACTCGCTGAGCTCAACCAGACGACCTCACCGTTTACTGTCTCCTGTCTTCCTCTGTTGTCTGCAGGGAGATGGCGAGGCCGAGCCACAGTGATCATGTCCTCCAGCAGCTCAACAACCAGCGGGAGTGGGGCTTCCTGTGCGACTGCCTCATCGCCATCGGGGACATCTACTTCAGGGCGCACAAGGCGGTCCTGGCGGCCTGCAGCTCCTACTTCAGGATGATGTTTATCCGGGACCAGCAGGGGGCGGGTCGTCTGGACCTCAGCAACATGCAGATCAGCGCGGAGTGCTTCGACCTCATCCTGCAGCTCATGTACCTCGGACGCATCGTCGTGGGCAGCTACGAGTTTGAAGAGCTCAAGGCCTCCATGGCGTACCTGCAGATGTACTACATCCCCGACTCGCTGGAGGATCTCAGGGACATCAGGAGCTCCAATCTCACCCCGTCCTCCTCAGCGTCCTCCTCCTCGTCCAGTTCCTCCACTGGCCCCGCTGCTGGGAAAATGATGTTTGGAGTCCGCATGTACGAGCAGCAAAGGCCCGCTGCACCGGAAGCAGAGCGCTTACCGAAACCTGTCAGCAGCTCCGCCGGGCGTCCAGCTGTTCCTGCAACCGTCAGCAGACCGGTGGTGGTGGAGGAAGTGGTGAACACTCCTCTGATAGTGGCACCGCCGGTGGTAGACGGAGGAGTCGAGCAGCCATGTGATTTAAGAAAGAGGTCCAGTGGCAGAAGTTCAGCTCTCAAAGACCGTCCTCGGTTTGGCCGCACCTACACCTGCGACGACTGCGGTTTCGTCTTTAGCTGCGAGAAGCTTTTAATAGAACACATCCTGACATGCACCAACCGGAAGGCCTTTCATCAGCCGAGAGGTAACGCTGAAGGGGACAACGACTCCAGTAAAGCTGAGAGCTCTGCCTCTGAGAGCATAGAGGAACACAGGGTCATCTGTAAAGGTGAGGACGACTGGCCCGAGGCCAAGGCCGACTCTGACCTCACCATCAGGTCGGTGGCGGCCGGGACAGACGGCGAGCCTGGGTCGACTAGGAGCATCTCAATCAAGACAGAACCAGAAGAAGTCATATTCCCTGAGATAGAGGTGGTCCGGGTTGGCGAGCACGCCAACAGAGACTGTAGCACAAGGTTCAGTGACACCACGCATAAAGATTTACGGAGGGAGAAAACTGGTTCAGACCGTGAACCAGAACCCGGTGTCTCAGGAATGGATAACAGCAGTGAGCCTTTCGAAGGCCACATGTCCAGCAGTGAAGATTCAGGAATCCCTGTGAAGCTCCGTAAGGTCAAAGACGAGAAGCAGGACGCCGATTGTGCCCCCTGTGAACTGTGTGGTGCTCTGTTAACCGAGGAGGACAAGTCAGCCCACTACCTGTCCAACCACATGGGCCATATATGTGCCTGTGGGAGGTGTGGCCAGGTGCTGATCAAAGGCCGCCAGCTCCAGGAGCACGCAGAGCGCTGCGGCGAATCCCAAGGTGGTGAGTCAGACTCCCATGGGGAGGACGAGGCGTCCCTGCTGGAGGAGCCACAGGGGATGGAGGAGGGCCTGCTGGAGGCGGCCGACCTGGCCTGCTCTCACTGCGGTCTGCTGTTCCAGAACGAGAGCCTGGCCCTGGAGCACGCCTTGTCCTGCCACGACCAGGAGCTGTTCCGCCCGGTGCTGCTGGAGGAGGGCACTGAACCCGATCACCGCCGCAAACACTTCTGCAGCATTTGCGGCAAAGGCTTCTATCAGCGCTGCCACCTGAGGGAGCACTACACCGTCCACACCAAGGAGAAGCAGTTCACCTGCCAGACCTGCGGGAAGCAGTTCCTACGGGAGCGCCAGCTCAGGCTGCACACCGACATGCACAAAGGCATGGCGCGCTACGTGTGCCCGGTATGTGACCAGGGAACCTTCCTCAAACACGACCACGTCCGACACATGATCTCCCACCTGTCAGCCGGGGAAACCATCTGCCAGGTGTGTTTCCAGATCTTCCCTGGTGGAGAACAGCTGGAGAAACACATGGACGTACACCTGTACATCTGCGGCGTCTGTGGAGAGAAGTTCCGCCTCCGTAAAGACATGAGGAGCCACTATAACTCCAAACACACCAAGAGATTATAGGAACCAAACCGTCCTCTGCATTTATACTAGTTTGTTACTAAAAAAAAGCCATAAATGTGAGAACAAATGTATGCACTTGAACACCAAAAAGAAAACTTTTTAATCTGCACTTTTAAAGTATATGCATAACCTAAATGGGCGTTCACACTGCGAGCAGCGGGGCCAATTACTGGTCGCCCTGTTACGACCCCGATGGCAACAGTCGGCAGTCTCTGTGCGACTTTGGTTAGACAAGACATTTTCACGGTTTACAATCAGGATTCTGTCGATGAAAATTATCACAAAGTTTAGAAATCTTGGCTAACTGTCCTCAGTGATGGATGGATCACCAGCTAAATAGCTAACTAAATGTATATTACAATTTAAAATATTTATAAAGAAGCTGGGATTTGATATACAGCATTATATATATGTGATATTTGCATTTCAGGTAAATCAAACAGTAACAAATGTCCAAGCTCACAGAGTCTAAAATGATACTTTAAGCTGTCCAAAAACCCAAAGAAACTAAACTAACACTGAAAAACAGGAAAATGAGCAGTTGGAACCAGTTAGCAAATTGTTAACAATTAATGTTCCGTCAAGTAACTAATCACTTAATCAATGAATCGTTTTAGCACTAGAATGTACCAAAGTCAGGATGGACGAATCATCAGATGAACTCTGGATTTAAGAGACTTTGTGATTTTTGTTGATGAGAAAAGCCCCGCCTTGCCTCGCCATTGGTTTGGTTCGTGATTGTGTTGCTCACAGTGTGAACGCATGGTACGACCGGCAGTCGACTCCAGGAGAAATCAGACCTGGTGCGTCCTCACAGTCGTACACTCGCCGCTGGGAGGAGCTTCACAAATAGATCACAGCTACTATAACGAGAGTGGGGGATGGAGGAACCGTTAGAGGACGCCCGGTTCAGGTTCTGTTTGGAGAGAATTGTCTGGCGTCGTGTGGCTGCGATGCCTCAAGCTTTGGGTCAACATTTTCTAGCTTTGATGTCAGTTTATTTTGTTGAATACTAAAGTCTCTGAAAACGAAACACGCTGAGTTTTTCATGTTCTAGTTTGTGAGCAAAGTCGGTGGAAAAAGACTGAATTCTGCTTTCTGATTCTTTGTTTAGTGAGTTTGATAGCACACTGATTCATACTCTGCCTCCCCTTTCACTCAGTTCTAGTTCAGCTTTACGTTCACTGTGTCACACTGACCACGTTTACATGCACACTAATTTTCCACTACTATCCTGAAGATGTTCCAGATGGAGCATTTTCCTTTTCAGACGTGAAACCGGCCAGTGTCATTCAGGTTTTAATCTGCTGCACGCTGTCATTAGGATTAACAACAGTATGTGAGGACAAACCAAAAGTCCACATTTCTACTTTTAAACATTATGAAAGACTCAGATATCAACAGGTTTCTGGTTATGAGGAAATATCACAAAGTTTTCCAGAACTGGTTGAAAGACTGAAAGAGGGAGGCTGTGCTCAACACTTATAAAAACCCTCCTTTGATGCAGACAAAATGTCTCCAGCTCCACTTTTACCACGAGGGCAACATGACTGCCGTCAGGAGGACGGGCAGTAATCAGAGTAAACCTTAGTTAACAGCTCATTATATATTGTATTTGTAAAAACTGTATTGCTTTGTGCATGTAAACGCAGTCAGAAACTCGCTGTCCAACATGCTCTGTGATTGGTGCCTTTACTGTAACGGTGGTGCACACTAGCGACAGATGTCTCCGTCCTTTTCCTTCCTGTGTTCTGCACAGTGATGCATTCTGGGGGATGGACAGGCACAAGTAAGGACCCCGTTTCAAAGTGAATATTTAAGGATTGTGTAAGAGTTGAACAACAGAACACTAGAAGTGGTCGGCTCATTGAAACCAGTGTTGGGTCCGGTTGAATGGGGTTCAGTTGGGACGAGAGGTCTGGTCACAAAATAATTCTGGAGCAGTTTGTTTGAGCCGACCTAAAGCACAAGGCGAACTCTGCAGGTTGGAGCTCCCGCCCCCCAGACACTTCTAACCAATGAGAGAACATCTGGCTTTCGGTGAATGCAGCCACTGGTCTTCAGTCTTCTGAAAGGAGTTCACACTTTCCCTGTTGCCTTATGAGTCGTGTAAAGTAGCTTTCGTTGCAGTTGTACTCTGCCCGTTCTCCTAACACACCACATATGTTTGTAACCAACCCAAACGTCCCAGACCGGGCCGACACTTCTGAACTAAACTGAAGTTCAGAACCAAACTGAACCTTTCAAAACCACTTCAGAATTTACCTAAACCATTTCAATGTCAACCTAAATCAGTTCTGAATAAAACAGCTATAGAGTGAACAGTAACATCGCAAAACCACCTTAAACAAGATCCAAACCAACCAAAACCAGTTCAGAACCAACTACACCACATTATAGTTGGAGGTTAATTGCAAACAAGTTCTGAATCAATTTGAGCTAGTTTAGAGCCTAAACCAGTTCAGAACCAGCCCAGACCAGTTCTCACCCTTTAGTTTCTGCAGTTACAGAGTTAGAGCGCCTTCCCCTCGTCCGCCGGTGTTCAGACAATCAACGTTTTGATGAGAAGTTGCTGTCTCGTTATCGACTGTTTTTATTGGTCGGATTTACAATCAAAGTCCATTCGATTCATGAGAGAAACTGCAGACAGTCGAACACACGTCTCCACTGTTTAATGCTGCCTTAAACCAGTTCAGAATCAAACTAAACCAGTTTAAAGAAAGGTCACTGTAAAGCTTCAGTGTGTAACATTAATATAATATTCATCGGTATGTTTTCATCATAATCAGCTGAAAATAAGAAGCGTGTTTTTGTTACCTCAGAATGAGCAATGGGGTTGCAAAATGCAACTACACCACTAGATGGCACCAAATCCTACACACTGGACCTTCAGAACCAGCTGAAATTTATACAGTTCAGAACCAACTGGAACCAGTTTAAAGCCTGTCCTGAATGATCTAAATGATGCTGTCAGTCTATCGCCTGGCGGGCTGAAACGTCAACGGTGTTCAGTTGTTTGGGGTCGCAGTTCAGCTTTCCTTCCTGTGTTCGGGTGGTTTTGTTGCTCTGAAGCTTTTGTCACTGATGTTGAATAAACTCAAGCCTTTCTTAAGCTCTTAATAAACCAAGTGAATCTGTTTGTCAGCAAATGGCTCTGGATGTCTTTATTGAACAGTCGACCTGCAGCAGCGTGGACCCAGAACTGTACCAGAGTCTCATGTTAGAAACATTCAGTCACGGTTCTCCAGCCGTTACACATGCTAACATGCATTGGACAATTGTATTAATCAGATCAATAACCTCAGAATGAATCACAATCAGAAATGGATTGAGCGTCCTCAATAACCCGCAAACCCAACTCATCCAATCAGCTGCTGAGATATCGTCCATATAGCTGATCATTAATGCTAATGATGCTAATTGTCCTACATATGCAAGTAAGTATCAGGCAGTGTAACAGCTGGAGACCCAGACTGAACAGTTCTAACAGAAACCTTCAGGTTCTGAGCAGTTCTAACAGAAACCTTCAGGTACTGAGCAGTTCTAACAGAAACCTTCAGGTTCTGAACAGTTCTAGTTCAAGTGGAACTAAATGTTCTTTGTTTATGATGCATTAAAGTTTCATAGTAAGTTAGAGAACAGGGGTATTGCACAAAAGTAGAATAAAGACATCCAGGATAATTGAGCAAGCACGGCTTGCCTTAGCCTGCTCGGCGCATCCTGGCTTAATCGGTTGCACGTTTGCCGAGCCAGGATGAAAAGGCGCGGCTATGTCAAGCCAGGTGTAGATAGTTGAGATAGGTGCGTGTTCACGGCATACTGAACTAGACCTCGCAATCGCTCACAGAATCACCGATAGGAACGTGGATAAGAGTCGCGCTTCATATTTCACGGCCGCTGAACAACAGCTCCTGATGGAGTTCTATGAAGAGGTGGAAGATATAAGAAACAAAGGCAATACCAATGCCATAATTAAAGAAAGAGAGAAAGCCTGGCAGACAATAGCGGACCGGCTTAATGCTTAAGTAGTCCAAAACTGTACAATGAATAAACAGTGCTCCTCTGGAACTGTCATCATTAGGCTCCAATTAAAGGACTAAAGGAGTTACTTTAAGTCCACTAATCAACTGTTGTACACTTTGCTTTAAATGTGGCAAGTAGAGGTGCATGTTACTTAAATGTAGAGTATGATTAAGTGCAAACAATTATCCACAATGTGTGTCATTTAATCTATTTTTATCTATTTTATCTTTCTATCCTTCATAAAGAACAAACTTGTCTGGCCATAAAAGGACCTGGCAGCAAGTTAAAGTTAAATACAAGAACATTTTGCAGGCTGGTCAGTGACTTTAAAGTAGATAACAGTGAATAAATGAGGTGAATAGATTAGGTATCTGCTGACATGTTGAATGTCTGTATGATTGTAGCAGTTAAAAAAAAGCCCATAGAACTGGCACAGGGGGCCCACCAAGCCAGGATATGTGCTGCCAATGGTTCCTTTATTGAGGTTCTCTGCATCCCCAACAGAATAAAGGAAGCTCCCACTTGCAGAACATCTCAATGTAACACAGACCATCTGTGGTACAGTGAGAGCATGGCTTCCTGCCGTCTGGTGCTGTATTTTTGGACCCAGCAGCCTACATAAATATCTTAGTCCATCACCTGAGAATCTGTATCTCTCAATGAGATAGTCCTCTCCAACGGCCAATGGGTCTGACCTGTCACAGAAGACTCTTTCATGACTAAATGCTCGTCTGAGGATTAGGGCTTCCTCATCCAGTACATCCTCCAAGAAAGGGCAAGCCATTATGAAGAGGGAACAGGTGAATGGAAGATAGATAGATAGATAGATAGATAGATAGATAGATAGATAGATAGATAGATAGATAGATAGATAGATAGATATTCCTTTATTTTTCCCACAATGGGGAAATTCCAATGTAACCGCAGCAAAGTGGATAGAGAGAAAACAGTATAAATAAACAGTAAGAGTAGGGAAATAATAAAAAACACTAGACGTATATTGCCCTTGTCACAGATTTCATTGAAAACACCTTTGCAACTTCATCAGCTGTGTTTTGTAATCTCAATTACTGCAATAAACACATATTTATGCAATTTGACAAGCAGTCTTCATTAGCATAGCAATATAACACTTGTCCTGAGTAATAATACTACCACTTGAATCAATATAAAAAGACTGTTGCAATTACAAACAGCCAACAGATTTAAATGAAATGAGAAATGACAATATATATGTAATATTTTAATGCAGGATAATTAAAATGATGCAACATCCTTGGAAAGACCATGGACATGCTGTAAAACACATTAATTCCTCACAGGATTGACGGTGGAAATACAGGAGAATCGCTAGGATTAATGTTAGCCTGGCTGTTAGCCTGAGGGGTATTGCACAAAACCAAGATAAGGGATTAAGCCAGGATATTTTATGAATTTAGCCTCAAGTCGGTTGCATGAAAGCACGTTAAACTTATCCCGGCCAAGTTACTATGGTGATTTATTCTCTGCAGTTAGCCTGCTCCAGACCAGGCTAACAGCCAAGCTAAGATTAATCCTAGTGATTCACCTGTATTTCCACCGTCAGTCCTGTGAGGAATTAATGTGTTTTACAGCATGTCCATGGTCTTTCCAAGGATGTTGCATCATTTTAATTATCCTGCATTAAAATATTACATATATATTGTCATTTCTTAGAGCCGGAGGATCTGTCCTAGGTTTCTGCCTAAGTTTTTCCTTGCCCTTGTCTCCAAGGTCTTGCTCATGGTGGTACTGTTGGGTCTCTGTAAATAATGTTATAAGGAGTTCGGTCTAGACCTGCTCTATTTGAAAAGTGTCCTGAGATAACTTCTGTTATGAATTGGCGCTATACAAATAAAATTGAATTGAATTGAGGCTAGGAAATCTGAAAGGAAATGGCGCTCTTCCAAATTATCAGAACATCGCTCAATTTGGCAAGATAATCTTAAAACTTATAGAAAGGCCCTCCGTAATGCCAGAGGAGCCTATTACTCAGCACTAATAGAAGAAAATAAGAATAACCCTAGGTTCCTCTTCAGCACTGTAGCCAGGCTGACAGAGAGTCACAGCTCTATTGAGCCACATATCCCCATAAACTTAAGTAGCAATGACTTCATGAGCTTCTTCTATAATAAAATTATTACTATTAGAGAGAAAATTAATCACCAACTGCCATCAACAGTTACCAGTGGCTCTCCAAGTTCAGGGACTTCTGTCAATGTAAACTTAGATGTATATTTAGACTGTTTTTCTGCCATTGATCTTCATCAATTAACTTCAATCATTTCTTCATCAAAGCCATCAACCTGTCTGTTAGACCCGATCCCAACTAGGCTGCTTAAAGAAGTTGTTCCCTTAATTGGCACTTCTTTACTGGATATGATTAATCTTTCTTTATTATCAGGATATGTACCACAGTCCTTTAAAGTAGCTGTAATTAAACCCCTTCTTAAAAAGCCCACTCTTGACCCAGGGGTTTTAGCCAACTATAGACCGATTTCTAACCTCGCCTTCCTCTCTAAGATTCTGGAGAAAGTAGTCGCCAAACAGTTGTGTGACTTTCTACATAACAATAGTTTATTTGAGGATTTTCAGTCAGGATTTAGAGTTCATCATAGCACAGAGACAGCTCTGGTTAAAGTTAATAATGACCTTCTGACTGCTTCTGACAATGGACTTGTCTCTGTACTTGTATTATTAGATCTTAGTGCTGCATTTGACACCATTGACCATGATATTCTTTTACAGAGACTTGAGCATCAAATTGATATTAAAGGAACTGCCCTAAGCTGGTTTAAGTCATACTTATCAGATCGTTCTCAGTTTGTACATGTTAACGATGAATCCTCCATAAATACTACAGTTAGTCATGGAGTTCCACAAGGTTCTGTACTTGGACCAATACTATTTACTTTATATATGCTCCCTTTAGGCAACATTATTAGGAATCACTCCATTAACTTTCACTGTTATGCAGATGATACGCAGTTATATCTATCAATCAAACCCAATGAAATTAATCAATTATCTAAATTACAAACATGTCTTAAGGACATAAAATCCTGGATGACCTGCAATTTTCTGATGTTAAACTCAGAAAAAAATGAAATTCTTGTTCTTGGCCCCAAAAACCTTAGAGACTCACTGTCTACAGATATAGTTACTCTATATGGCATTACCTTGGCCTCTAGCACCACTGTCAGGAGTCTTGGAGTTATCTTTGATCAGGATTTGTCTTTTAACTCCCACATGAAGCAAACCTCTAGGACTGCGTTCTTTCTTTAAAATTAGACACATCCTATCACAGACAGATGCAGAAAAAACTTATCCATGCATTTGTTACTTGAAGGCTGGATTACTGCAACTCTTTATTATCAGGTTGCCCCAATAAGTCCAAAAAAAAAAAGAGATCACATCTCTCCTGTACTAGCTTCTCTGCATTGGCTCCCTGTAAAATGTAGAATAGAATTTAAAATCCTCCTCCTCACCTATGAAGCTCTTCATGGTCAGGCCCCTTCATATCTTAAAGAGCTCATAGTACCCTATTACCCCTCTAGAACACTACGTTCTCTGAATGCTGGGCTACTTGTGGTTCCTATAGTCTTTAAAAGTAGAACAGGAGCCAGAGCCTTCAGTTACCAAGCTCCTCTCCTGTGGAACCAGCTTCCAGTTGTGGTTCTGGAGGCAGACACCCTCACCACATTCAAGAGTAGGCTTGAGACATTCCTCTTTGATAAAGTTTATAGTTAGGGCTGGATCAGGTGAGTCCTGAACCATCCCTTAGTTATGCTGCTATAGGCCTAGACTATCGGGGGATTTTCCATGGTGCACTGAGCTCCTCTCTTCCTCTCTCTTTCTGCACTCATTCATGTCCCATTAATGCATGTTACTAACTTCACTTCTTCCCCGGAGTTCTTGTGCTTTCTCGTCTCGCAGGTTCTTATCGATCCTGGTGGAGCCTCCTGCCATGGTCCTGCTTGACTGCCATTGCCAATACTGTTGTTGCTGTGCACCTGTCTGTCTGTCTGTCTGTCTGTCTGTCTCTCTCTGCCTCTCATGAATTGGCGCTATACAAATAAAATTGAATTGAATTGAATTGAATTACAGATATCAAACCAAAAACATGTAAATTCCTCCTCCAGCTCTCAGAATATAGATTCAAACTGATTAAAATGTTCCTCTGACTCTGTCTGCTGGGACAGAGCGACGGATCATTTATCAATAATAAGTTTAATCTACCTTCCTTTAGCTCTGTCCCTCCAATAATCGATCAATATACATATTTCAATCAGCATTCAATTATCTGTGGATGACATTACAGAAATAAAGCCACAGTTCACAGCCTTTATCATCTATGATGTAAATGAATCATACATTTGACTGCTTTAATAAGGAGGTTATTATTGTTGTTGTTGTTGTTGTTGTTGCTGTTGTTGTTGTTGTTGTTATGTCTGACTGAGTTTGGTGTAGGATGATATTTTAGTGTTGAGCCTGCTGTTCACTGTGTGTCCACATGAGGGAGCTGCAGGATGTTTTAGAATAAACCACAGAGACAAACCAACATGGATCTCAGAAGTCAAACAGACATCAACAAACTTTATTTCTTTAAGCTTCTCAGACTGACAGTCAACCCACCGGATGTTTCCTGTTTAACATTTCAAAATAAAAGTGGTTATTAGTTTGTCTTATTACTACGAACTGAAGATTGAGACTTTGTTAAACTCAATGTTTAACAATAACAATCAAACTGCCTCTCACTGTCGAGCTTCTGCTTCATATCTGCCTGCTGTTTCTCAGAGGAAATACTGAGTGAAGATCAGATCTCTTTTTGGCTCCACCTACAGGGGGAAGACGAGGAAACCGCTGAAGGTGCTGAGCCGCCCGTGATCGAAGATGCTGTTCCCGGTCCAAAGGGTGACCGAGAGCTGGTCCCCCTGTTCCAGGGCCAGCGTCATGCCATTGGAGGCACTGCTATGCATTTGTTGGTTGTCTTTGACAGCGAACATGTTGACCCCGTTCTTCATCACCGCTATGTTCATCCCTGAGTTTGCGGCGCAGCCGGTAATCCGGGTGTAGTAGAGTCCCTTCACGGGGGCTGTGAAGATGCCTGCAGTCAAAGAACAGGGAGAAACAGCTCAGAAGCACAGTTCTACGTCCAGCTCACTGTGGCCTCCTGAACAGGTGAGTCGTACCTGTTAAGGGGTTGTATGCATTTCCGATGTTGGTCCTCACCCTCTTGAATATCAGCGTGGTGTTGGTGTCGAAAGGCCCCAAAGTAACCTCGCCTTCAGGCTCGACGAGGGACGCCGAGAACGCCACCTTAAATTTATCTGCAGGAAGACAGACAGATTTCATTAAAGGGAATTTACTGTGCTCTCTCTATATAAACTGTCTGAAACAAGCCTCATCCTCCCTTAAAGCCCACTGTCTTCTGATTGGCCAACTGAAGCCTGCTGAGGGGCCCAGTCTTTCACCGATTACTGTATGAAAGCAAAACTTTATAACTGTATTCGGTGATTTTGGTGAAACTGGATCAGTTTTCCTTCTGACGCTCTCCGGCTGCTCAGTTTCGACTGTAACTTCCTCTTACCCGCAGTTTGCACCGGTTGAAGACGGGCTAGAGAGGACTGAGTAGTGCAAGTAAAGAAGGTTTACAGAAAGAAAAAGGCTGATATTCAGTTGACACTGAACCCTGTCTGATCAAATATTGTACATTTGTGATACGGAGTCATACATATGGAGTCAGGGAGTCGGAACGTCACACAATGAAAAGATCTAACATTAACAACTCCTCACAAACCACTGCAAGGCCCCCACAGCGGCCTGTGGACCTCGAGGCATTGGCCCTTTTCCAGGCACATCTCCACTATAACAGGGCTACCCACTTGAAGGTGTGTCTTGGTAGAATGAGGAGGATTTGTGGGTTGCTGTTGGCTGTTCTTCCCTGGCTCAACAAGCTAAAGGGTGAATGAAGAGAGGGAGCAAGAACAAAGCAGTGAATCAGACAGAGTAAACGTTACTGTCTGATTGTTTAACACGTTGTTGGACCCATTGTTCATCTTGTCCTCCGTCTCTGCTCTGTAGCTCAGCCCTCAGACAGACACACAGACCTGAGATCAAAAGATCTCTGTTTGTTCTAATGTTTGGTCTGTTTAGGATCAAAGCGTCAGTTTTAGTCAGTACCACGACCTTCCTCTGGAGCCGCATGACAACAAAATATCTGCACACTGACAGGACAATTCCATTTTTGTTGTTTTAGGTCAACTTTGGACACCAGGTTGGAACAAACAAAGTCTCCAGTGGAGTCCAGCAGTCTTACCTCTGTCTTGAAGCTCTTTCTCCAACTTCTGCACTCTGACTGTCAGCTGCTCCAGGACTCCATCTTGTGCATCCCCAGTGGGAATCTGAGCACTGATCACACCACAGACCACCAACACAACCACAGACCAACCGGACATCATCTCAACTCAGCTGTACTGACAGCAGGAGAGGAAACACTCAGGTTATTTATGGGCGCTCGTGTCTGACCCCTGCACACAGAGTCTGTTGGACTTTAAACAGAAAGATAGAATTATTAACCAGTTCAATGATGATAAAAGGATATTGATCAAAACCAGAACTAAAGCTGTGGGCGGCACTCTCTACAGGGCAAGGTTGCTCTGAAACCTGTTCCAATAAAAGTTACCTGAAGATCAGCCATATCATTATGACCACCTGCTTGTACTGTGGCACCAACAGCAGCAGATCCTGTACGTTGAGAGGGGGGGCCTCCATGGATCGGACCGTGACAAAGTGTAGTGAAGAAGACCGTACTATATATTATTACTATAATGTCTGACAGATGTGGAATATTTGAGTCTGAATGGATTTTCTGGATGAAAGTATGAATGAGTCCATTTAAATATGAATATACTGAATATTTCTGAATAAGTATGAAGATATCGAATATAAAGATGGAAGCAATAATGTCGTCATTGAGCTGAATCTTTTGATGTTTGAATACTACATTGATAGTTGATCATGTAGAAGAACAGACGGTTTAAGCTTTCACACCATGTAATAAAAGTGTGAACAGAAGAACATGAGAGGTACAGATGGACTCTTCAGTAGAAACAGGAAGTGAAGGTCAGTGAGGATAGAGATTTAGTTTTTCAGCCGTTTCAGGAACTGTCGGCTTAAAAATAAACAATCAATCAGAGAGGAGTTGAGGAGATGATCCTCTGACAGGATTAACACGAGCCGCAGTCAGAAACATTACGCTGATGGACCCTGCAATGTTTCCACCTTCTCTCATTCATTCTCTCCTTTTATTGATTCATGTGACCGAGGGAACCGTACAGGGGTCTAAGCCTCTTGGTCACATCCTTACTTTTGCAGATTAAAGCCAGCAGCTCTCAGATTAACACCTGACTGATTACTGGACGATAGAAGTGCAGCTGAGGACACTGTCGGGACATTAAATCCTTTCATCTGATGCTGGTTGAGTTGTAGTTGAGAGAATAAGCAGTGAATGGGGTTGATTGAGGTAAGAGTTGTGTAACCCGCCTCAGCTCTACCTGTTAATGGTTAAGACTGGGGGATACAGGTATGTTTATTTATTAGTGCATTAATTACCTTGTGGACCAGAAAATCAGAAGTCTAGATCGCTACAGGAGAAAGGGGTATTAGCAATATTGCATTGAGTGAGAGTAAAGGATTCACACAACCAACAGGTAAGTTTTAAGTATGTTACATTGTGTTGAGTAAAGAAATAAAATTGAGAATAAGAAAAAACAAATTTAAATTGTCCACATAACATGAGATATCAACACAGTTCTCAATAAACTCAATCACTGAATAATCACAGTCTCTGTTTGGGCGGCTCGCCACTACCACTGAGGTTCCCCTCTACCTCTAAAGAATGGGGGAAATCCCAGCGGAAGAAGAAGAAGTCATCTTCATGCAGATCTCAACCCAGGAATCCAACCAAAGAAAATAAGACCCGGCCTATAAAGGCCAAAAGAGGGTTATTTAAATATTCATATAAAGAAAATATCCTTTTAAATGTAAATAAATGCATATGAACACATATTTATACATATATATTGTAACATTGTTCCCTGATAATAATTTTAACTACTCTTTACTGTGCATTAAATGAACTGAACACATTTCTCATTATTAACATGAGACAAAATGCTTAACATTTCTTTCTCCCCGCCACTCACTCTCAGAGAAACAGAGTGGGGGTAAACAAAACACCGTAATATAAAACACAGAAACATATTTCTGACACAACATACATGAAATTAATGCCTCGTTAATTCCTATTAACATTAGCAATTGCACCTTCCAACTCCATTTATCAGTCTAACTTCAGTAAAGTTTACTCACCAGAGGCTCAAGCATCACATATACACACACTCCGGGTACAAGGCAGAACACAGCTCTCATCAGTCCAGGTTTCACTTTTTGAAGAGACAGGGACACGGGAGTTCAGTAACGTATAACCTCAAAACAGAATTTAGCGGAGTAAATGTGGCTAATAGCACGGGCTAGCGCCATGCTGCTAATAAACACAACTCACGTTCTCCTTCGTCTGTCACAAAACACACGGTCCGCTAATCAAGAAGAAAAGCTTCGCTCTCTGCACCGACGATAAAATTAACGTTGGGAAGACGTTGGAATATTTGGCTCTCTTACACAAAACAGTGATATCTGCAGCAACAGGTTAGCATGACGCCACCTTGACGTTGGTCCGGCAGAGAGAGAGAAAAACACGACAGCACGCACACCTTGACGGCGTCTCCTTGGTAACGCTACGTTACATCACGTGAACTCCCAATGTCACCCGAATCTTTCACACTTTCAGAAAGGCACATTCACCACACTTTAAATAAACAAAATATTATTTGTAAACAGACATGAATAACCCGTTTATATTAATTTCTTATAATCTATTAATTTATTTATTGACATATTTAAGATTTTAATCCTAAATCCTATTTATTCACTTCGTGTAAGATTATTTTAAATCAAACTCTATGTATTTATCTGTCACATAGAAAATATGAATTTATTAATTTTTTGATCTAATCAACTAACTGATAGACTGGACTTCTAATAAGGGCCTAGTAACCTGGGTTACACCCTCCCCTTCTAAAGGTGTGTATGTCCCATTACACCCACATGACTATGAGTTGGCCTTGGGGTTACTTGGGGGATATCTGCATAGCCATGATTCTGGAGTGCGTCAGCAAAGGCAAGGTTGAGGCCTTGGAAGAGTGATTGGACTATAGACAGCAAGGGATTTCCCAGTTGACCATACTGTAGTCTTTCAGGTTGTTCTCTATGCCTCTGAGAACGTCTGGGAACATTGTCACCATCACTCCCTCCCATGATGACTGGAGAGGTTCTTCTTCCAGATGTCCCAGCTACTATTGCCTCATTGGTCCTGTCGACTGACACATCCTCACAAGGTTTATTGACAAAGCATCCTTCATCCTTGCTGGTATCACTGAATGACAGGTCTGAGAAAACAGGAAGACTTTCGTCCAGAATGTTTGGTTCTGAGGGAGACTCCCACATGCTCAGCTGGATGGGTAAGGTCTCATCCTCTTGTCTTGAACTGTCAGAGGGGGTGTCCTGAGAGTTTCCAAACAGAGCTCTTCTCACTTTGGGGGAATCAGCTTCTCTGTGCCTTGAGGTGACCTCAGCCTCCTGATCAACAACTGCTGAGGTTCCTTTACATTCAGAACAGTTTGGTCGGTCAGAACTTGGCTCATTTGAGGTATCATCCCCGGAAACTGGAGGTTTCTCTGATTGGGATGGAATGATCCCCACAGGTATCTGCTGTATTGTCTCTCTTTCAGGTCCATGTCTTTTTTCTCTGTTCTGTTCCTCAATGATTGATGTCTCTGTCTTTCCTTCCAAATTGACAGGAGCAGGAAGCCAACCAACTGAAGACAGGGTTGGTTGCTTTGTCTCTCCAGCATTTCTCTCCCTATCAGGTACTGTCTCTGGCAGGGTCGGAACCCGTGTCTCAATAAGGTCAGTGTTCAGTGCCTCTCCAGGTAAGTAGCAATAGTAGTCACTGTCTTCTGACTCTGAATCACCATCTGCCACTTCAGATCCGGCTGTGACTTCCATTCTCGACTGTCTCCTTGTTCTGGGTTTGCTGATAGTCTGCTTTGGAGATTGTTCGGACACAGCCACAGGTAAGAATCCACACGGCAGCAAGAGGTCACGGTGTAAAGTGCGAAGTGGTCCATCTTTCCCTTCTGATTTAACAGTGTACACAGGTAGGTCACCAGCACGTTTAACCACTATGTGAACGTCTGGTTCCCATTTATCGGCCAACTTGTGTTTCCCCCTTATTCGAACATTCCTCACAAGGACACGATCTCCTGTTTCAAGAGTGGACTCAACAACTCTCCTGTCAAACCGCTGTTTGTTACGCTCAGCTGTCTTTGAGGCATTCTCTGTGGCGACTCGGTAGCTTTCCTCTAGGCGGCCCTTTAAGTCATGCACATATTGGGAATGTGACTTGGGTTCACGGCTGGAAGGTAGACCAAACGCCAAATCAACTGGAAGCCGGGGTTGTCTGCCGAACATTAGTTCGTAGGGACTGAATCCGGTCACGTCATTCCGTGTGCAGTTATAAGCATGCACCAGAGGCTTGACAAACTCCCTCCAATGAGACTTGTCCTTATTTTCCAGAGTGCCCAACATCTGGAGTAGGGTCCTATTGAATCTCTCCACTGGATTCCCCCTGGGGTGGTAAGGGGTAGTCCTGACTTTTTGAATGCCAGCGATGGAGCACAGTTCTTTTATGGTGCGAGATTCAAAATCTGGACCCTGGTCACTCAGAAGCTTTTCCGGAAACCCATAATGCACCAGAAAGTTTTCCCATAAACACTTAGCCACAGTCTGCGCCTTTTGGTTTCGAGTTGGAATGGCGACTGCGTACTTAGTGAAATGGTCTGTCAGTACCAATATGTCTTTTGTGTTGCTCCGATCAGGCTCCACTGATAGAAAGTCCATGCAGACCAGCTCCAAGGGCCTGCTGGCCTTGATGTTACACAAGGGAGCTGCTCTCTCGTTTGGAGTCTTTCGGCGCACACAACGTTCACACGTCTTGATCTTTTGCTCTACATAAGTTGACATTCTAGGCCAGTAGAATCGTGACCTCACAAGGTCGAGGGTCCGCTCCATGCCTAGATGACCTAGATCATCATGTAAGCCTTTCAGTGCTGTGGCTATAAGTTCAGCTGGTAGAACAAGCTGATGTGTGACTCGTCCATTTTCTTGCCGTGCCCTGTATAACACTCCATCTCTCAGCTCTAGGCGCTTCCACTCTCGGAGCCACAAAACAAGCTCTGGAAACTCTTGTCTCAGGGTGGGTGAGGGCATGTCTCCAGACTCCTTGTGCTCGATGACCACTCTGAGATCAGGATCGGCTCGTTGCTTTGTATGTTGTATGTTGACAGAGCGGACAGCCACCTGTAACTTGTGGCATCCAACTTTGCGGAGGTCAGGATGTAGGTTAAGGGATTACTGTCAGTGACAACAGTGAAGTCAGTACCGTACAAGTAATCACTAAACTTAGCAGTGACAGCCCACTTTAAAGCGAGAAATTCCAGTTTATGGGCAGGGTATTTCGCCTCACTCTTCGTCAATCCTCTGCTTGCGAAAGCAATAGCCCTCATCCGTCCGTCTTGTTCTTGATACAAGGCTGCACCAAGCCCTGTCGTACTTGCGTCAGTATGAAGGACGTATGGGAGTTTGGGGTCTGCAAATCCTAAGACAGGTGCGGTGGTGAGCTTGTCAATGACCTCCTCGAACGCTCTTTGACAATCTGAAGTCCACCTCTTCCCAAAGGATTCCTTCGGATGGAAGTACAGGTGAGTTTTTTCTCTTCCTTGACTGTTTTTCCTGAGAGGTGGGTACCCTGCTGTGAGGTCGTTTAGAGGTTTGGTGATCTTTGAATAGTCTTTCACAAACCGTCTATAGTACCCAGAAAAGCCCAGGAAGGAGCGCAGCTGCTTGAGATTCTCGGGTACTGGCCAGGTCTTTAAGGCTTCAATCTTCTGTGGGTCTGTCTCAACTCCATGCTGGGAGACAATATGACCAAGATACTTAACGGAGGTTTGGAAAAATTTACATTTTTCTGGTGATAGTTTTAACCCATACTCTTTAATACGGTTAAGGACCTGTAGTAATCTTGATTCATGTTGTTCCAGGGTGTCTGAAAAGATTATGAGATCGTCGATGAAGACCAGGGCCTCTTTGCGGTTGAGATCTCCCACACATCTCTCCATCAGTCGCTGGAACGTACTTGGCGCGTTAGTAACCCCCTGTGGCATTCTATTAAATTCCCAGAAGCCCAGGGGGCACACAAACGCAGTCTTCTGTTTATCAGCCTCTTCCATTTCGACTTGGTAATAGCCCGATTTTAAATCAAGGACTGAGAACCATTTTGAGCCAGTCAAGAGGGAGAACACTTCCTCCAAGTTTGGCAGGGCATAAGCATCTCTTATGGTTTGTGAGTTGAGTTTCCTGAAGTCGATGCACAGCCTCACAGAACCATTTTTCTTCCGCACGACAACAATGGGAGATGCAAAGGGGGACTCAGACTCACGTATGACGCCAGAATCTAGCAGCTCTTGAAGATGTTTCTTAACTGCATCTACATCGTGTGGATGGATGGGTCTGGGTCGGTGCTTGAAAGGAGTGTTGTCACTCAGCTTGATGTGATGTTTTACTTTGTTGGTATGACCAAAGTCCATGTCATGCTGAGAAAAGACTTCAGGCATGTTATTGAGCAGCCTTGTGATTTGCTCTTTCCACTCTGGTGATAAAGGGGAATCCCCAAAATCAAACTCCATCCCTTTGGTTTCAGGAGCGGTCAAATCAGTGGAGGGCTCCTTTCCCATCACCTGTTGAACGGCGTGAATCTCAGCCAACACTGTCCTCGGAGGGATGGTAATGTCATGTTGAGTCTCATTCCTCAGCAGAATTGACATTGAGCAAGGGCGCTTGACAGGTAAGGTGCACAGGGAGCTAGCAACCAGCAATCCGCCAGGAAGGGAAGACACAGATGCGGCCTCTACAACTGCCCACTTATCCTGGTGAGCACCACTCATGTGGACATGCCCTTCCACAACGACTGTGCTGCCCGCTGGCACCACTTCGGGGTTGTTGCTTCGCGCCTTGATCAGCCCAAGAGCTCCAGTACTTGCCTGCTTTTCCCGTACTTCCAGGATTTTCAAAACTACTCTGTAGCCAGGAAGGAATGACTGAGGACGACAATCATACTTTTCAACATAGCTGGAGTAGAGGACGTCTAGTGAATTGGTGCCGATGAGGATTTGAGGCACACTGTTCACATCAGGGACAACCAACACTAACGTAGGGACTTCAGTCTCTTTTCCCAAAAACTCCTCTGGAAACAACAGGTTGAGTTCTACGTACCCAAGGTAAGGCACAGCCTCTCCGTTGGCTCCCTCTACTTGCAGCTCTACATCCAAAAGATCGTCCAAGGATTTCAAAGGATGATGGGACAGGTGAGTCTGGAAAAATGACAGTGGGATAGTGGTCACCTGAGATCCCGTGTCTAGTAGACAGTTAACTTTGTGGCCTTCAATAGTGACTTGAGCAGTGCATTTTGTTCCGACCAGCTTGGGCGGCAGTATGGTGGAGGTGGTGTTAGCTTTACCACACTTGCTGGCCACTTGCTTTGGATTTCTAGGGCGTTTAGTTGGTCTTTTAGTCCCTGTTTGCCCTGCAACAGGGGCTTCTAGTAGTTTAACTGCTGGATGCCAGGACTGCCACTTTGCTGATCCCATTGCCGTTGTTTCTCTCTGAGCAGCTGTCTCTTTTCCTCGACGAGAAGGGGATTAGGTTCACTCTCACAGTTGACTGCCAGGTGAGCGTCTCCACCGCAGCGGAAGCAGTACCATGGACGGGGCCTACTGTGTGCTGGGGGCCCTGAACTGGACTGTCCACTCACTCTCTTGTTGGGTGACTGGTGTCGAGCTGTCATGGAGAAGTCTCTTGAGAATGCAGGCGATGGTATCTGATGACTCTGAGCTTGGGGTGGGCTCATCTGTGCTTGAAGAAAGGCAAGCTGACGTTTCGATGCCTTAACCTCTGTTGCTTCTAGGTGGTCGCTTTTAGTATCATGAGTTGCTTTCCTCATATCAACTACCTGTGCTTGAATCTCAGCAATCTGTCTTTTCAATGAGTCAATTTCAGTTGTGTCAGGACTGCTGATCTTGGCTTTACGTGGAGTTGCTGTCTGCATGACAGCAACCTGGGCGTGTATCTCGTTAAGCTGTTTCTTGAAGATGTCAGCATCAATTACTTCTTTCTCAGGTGTGGCACAACTGCATGCGGCTAACTGTTGTGCTGCAGCTCTGAACTTTGGGGCAGCAGGACTTGGCTTGAGTAGTCCAAGGTGTTTTTTCATACGGTTACGTTTGCTTGCCTGTCTGTCTTCCTCTGTTCTGATCAGAAGCACCAGTTCAGCAAACGAGGGCGGTGTATTTGCTCTCCGCTCCAGTTGGAGATCAGCGATCAATCCATCATTCCAGCAGCCTCGACAGAACTGCTTCAGGAGGTAACGATTTCGTTCACTCTCTGCGATACCACCTCGCCTGACCACAGCACTCAGAGCAACTTGCAAGCGGTTCAGATAGTCAGAAGGCTTCTCGTCATTGTTCTGCAGTGTCCCCATAAACTTGGCCAATAGCTCATCTCCATCCTCCACAGAGCCATAGACTGAGTCCAGTAGCTGAAGATACACTGATGGCAAAGCCTGAGGGCTGACATGCTTGATAACATCAGTAGCTGGAGGCAATAAGCTGTCCAAGATCTTGCGTGTTCTGTGCAGGTCAGACATGGAGGGATCTGCCAAGAATAAGTCAACATTTGCTCTCCAGGTATCAAAGTCAAGTTCACTGTTTGGACGAGGAACCTTCCCAGAGAAGGGTCTGAGGCGGAATGAAGAGTGCATGGGAGACATAGCTTCATTAGTTCTCATGACATGTTCAACAACAACCCGTTGTACAGCAGGAGGATTAACATCATTCATGGTGAGTACCGAAGGTGTCACTGTAGCACTGTCATTACCACTGGCTTTGATGGACAGGGACGCTGGGTGTTGAGTGCCCAAGTTAGCAGCCATGCTAGGCGATGGAGCGGCTGTCAACACGGCAGGCTGCGACTGACCATTTACACTGGTAGGTAAGGATGTTACCTGTGGACTCCGAGTAGCGGCCTCAAGCCTTTGCACAGCTGGTGTTGATGCTGCTTGGACATCGCCTCTCAATCCACACGGACTACGCCTGGGTGAAGGAGATGGTGGGAATACAGCTGGTAAGTTCCTGACTATCTCAGGGGAGACAGATCCAAGCAGAAGAGAGGGCTGTTGCATGACCTGGGGTGGTGCTTTAATATTCTCACTCTCCCAACCAGTTGCATCAGAAGTGTTTAATATAGAGTCTTTGACTGGTGCAGTGTCAGCGGGGAGGTTCGCACTTTTCCCTGCACTTATCTTCATCAGTTCCTCTTGGAGTACACTTTCCAATGACTTGCCACTTTTATCAGCAATGGCCTGCAGTTCTTCAAGATACCCCTTGGTGGCGCTACTGCTAGCAGTGCTAGTGTAAACACTATCCAGGGAGAGCACCTTAAAGGTAACATTTGCATTAGCTGAGCTCTGATACTCTTTTGGCAATATAGGTCTAAATGTATGCATTGCGGAGCTACTTGCAAATTCCACAATGGAGCAGAGATGATACTCCGATTTTGGATCATCAATAACTAGCACTCTGTTGATAGAGCCATAGCGTTTTAGGTGTCCCTCAAGCTCCTCATCTAATTCAGTTTGAGTTAACCCATTAACAATAACTGAATTACGAACATTTATCTTTTCACCTTCCACTATATCCATTATACTATATTGCTTCTTACCCTTCTACTCTTGTCACTCAATAATACTCCACTTTCTCCTGGCTGGCTCTAACTGTTAATGGTTAAGACTGGGGGATACAGGTATGTTTATTTATTAGTGCATTAATTACCTTGTGGACCAGAAAATCAGAAGTCTAGATCGCTACAGGAGAAAGGGGTATTAGCAATATTGCATTGAGTGAGAGTAAAGGATTCACACAACCAACAGGTAAGTTTTAAGTATGTTACATTGTGTTGAGTAAAGAAATAAAATTGAGAATAAGAAAAAACAAATTTAAATTGTCCACATAACATGAGATATCAACACAGTTCTCAATAAACTCAATCACTGAATAATCACAGTCTCTGTTTGGGCGGCTCGCCACTACCACTGAGGTTCCCCTCTACCTCTAAAGAATGGGGGAAATCCCAGCGGAAGAAGAAGTCATCTTCATGCAGATCTCAACCCAGGAATCCAACCAAAGAAAATAAGACCCGGCCTATAAAGGCCAAAAGAGGGTTATTTAAATATTCATATAAAGAAAATATCCTTTTAAATGTAAATAAATGCATATGAACACATATTTATACATATATATTGTAACATTGTTCCCTGATAATAATTTTAACTACTCTTTACTGTGCATTAAATGAACTGAACACATTTCTCATTATTAACATGAGACAAAATGCTTAACATTTCTTTCTCCCCGCCACTCACTCTCAGAGAAACAGAGTGGGGGTAAACAAAACACCGTAATATAAAACACAGAAACATATTTCTGACACAACATACATGAAATTAATGCCTCGTTAATTCCTATTAACATTAGCAATTGCACCTTCCAACTCCGTTTATCAGTCTAACTTCAGTAAAGTTTACTCACCAGAGGCTCAAGCATCACATATACACACACTCCGGGTACAAGGCAGAACACAGCTCTCATCAGTCCAGGTTTCACTTTTTGAAGAGACAGGGACACGGGAGTTCAGTAACGTATAACCTCAAAACAGAATTTAGCGGAGTAAATGTGGCTAATAGCACGGGCTAGCGCCATGCTGCTAATAAACACAACTCACGTTCTCCTTCGTCTGTCACAAAACACACGGTCCGCTAATCAAGAAGAAAAGCTTCGCTCTCTGCACCGACGATAAAATTAACGTTGGGAAGACGTTGGAATATTTGGCTCTCTTACACAAAACAGTGATATCTGCAGCAACAGGTTAGCATGACGCCACCTTGACGTTGGTCCGGCAGAGAGAGAGAAAAACACGACAGCACGCACACCTTGACGGCGTCTCCTTGGTAA